CCTTTATTCGGGTTCTTTACAACTTGTCCCACACGGCCCTCGCTCAGAGCCTCCCCGCTTGGCAGCTCGACGCTGCCGTCGCTCCCGTAGCCTTTCTCCACTCCGATGCAGCTCCGCTGCAGGTTCCCTTGTGCAGTCCTCCGGCTGCTCTCACTGCAGCTCCACCGCTGCTCCCCGTTCCTCCCTTGCTCGGTCACCGCTGGCCGACGGTGCCGAGTCTCACCGTGTGGCGATCTCGCCACTCTCCACTCTCCGCCCTGTGTGGCCTCACCCTGTCTCTATTCCCGTACTCTCCCCACCCCGCTGGCTGGCGCCGTCATGAGCCCCTCAGCCACCAGGCTGAGGCACGGCGACCACCCAACGTGATCTCCACTCTTCTCTCCCTCGACTGCCCCCTGATGTCTTCCTGTCTCCCCGCTATAACTTCTCCCCCACGTGACCCTGACTCCTCCCTCTCGGATCGTCACATCCGACCTGCCCATTTACGCTCGCATTACACTAGTACAGCACACCGGTGTTTTGGAGAGCAAATCCACAACATTTACAAGCTGAGTACGACGTTACTCCAGTGATTACAACTAGCTTCATCTGGCGACAAGCCAGATTTGTGGAGAGATCCTCCTGCTTCGTTCCTTAAATAGAGGGGTAGATGTGATGACGTCACTTGTGAGCCCTTCACATGTGGGGGGGGGGATTAATAAATAGAAATTAAAGAATAGGTTTTCCCCTTTTTTTACAATGGGTATCCATTGCCGGTTGGGTTATTAATATGGGAATTACCGTATCAATATGGTAATGAATGTGTAAGAGATCCTCGCAACATTTTTCATGTATGATATCTTTTTTAAATGACATTGAAAATTGTAAAACATTTGAAATTAAAAAAACTTTGACAAATTTATTATTTTTTTACAATTTTTTTCACGTAAAATTCCGAGCAACAATTGTCCATCTTACCTTCTAGAGTTTGTTTTTGCATTGCCTGCAGGTGAAATGAGGTTCCCAGGGTTTGTCTTGATCCCCGACAGGCATTCCGAAATATGCATTGTAGGCCTCACACATCTTAGCAGATGATTCCATAGAGTACTTTTTCGCTCTTGTCTTGATAAATTGGCCGCAGACATAGCAAAATGCGTCTGCGGGATTCTTGCAGCCTCATGATGCAATCTCAAAAAAATGCAGATATGTATCCACTTAGGCAGCTTGAACCAAACTTAATTGGTGGGCTTAAGGCCCCTGTATGTATACGATTTATATTACTGGGAAGTTCTAGTACTCAGCACTGAATCTATCTGGAATGTTTTGGAAAATAGGTACCACTGTCCTGGTCACAAAATAAAAGTTTGTGGGGAATAATATCCATTTTCTGTACTTTTGAGGCATAATCAATTTGGAAATAACACTTACTACCCAGGAACAACAACAAAATATGTTACACAGTGTATATAATCAACGTACATTATGCGTGCACATTATGAATACTCGTTGTTCTTGTACCTCCGAGCAATACCTGTTATTGTCTGCGTAGAAGTGATCCCCAATGATGTATAGGTGACCCTTTATAGGCATGCATTTCAACAATGTATCATTGTTTCATTCTCACTGGCTGTAAGCATCTTAAAATGTAATCCCAATGTAGCAGGGCCCTCCTGAAAAAGGGTGCTTATGACTCAGTCTGGCTTCCTGAATAACAAAAAAAAACGTGATAATTGGTTTTTTACCCTTCTATCTGGCAACAAAACTGACACCTTTTTGCAAGGAGTCATGTTTGCATAGACCGCAATACCTGCAGTCATAATACAAACAAAAGAACATAACTCTGATAATGTGCACTGTCCCTGAAGTTGATTGGTCCACACCCGAGACAGCTTTCCTTCGAGCCTAGTCTCATATGGGTTGGACCAGATGACGCCAAAAGGCGCACAACTCAAGGACAATGCACCATCAGAGTATGAGAGCTCGGGGCAAGCATCTACACTATGGGGACCTCATTTGCCAGTAAAAATATGATAATTGGTTTTTTACCCTTCTATCTGGCAATAAAACTGACACCTTTTTGCAAGGAGTCATGTTTGCATAGACCGCAATACCTGCAGTCATAATACAAACAAAAGAACATAACTCTGATAATGTGCACTGTCCCTGAAGTTGATTGGTCCACACCCGAGACAGCTTTCCTTCGAGCCTAGTCTCATATGGGTTGGACCAGATGACGCCAAAAGGCGCACAACTCAAGGACAATGCACCATCAGAGTATGAGAGCTCGGGGCAAGCATCTACACTATGGGGACCTCATTTGCCAGTAAAAATATGATAATTGGTTTTTTACCCTTCTATCTGGCAACAAAACTGACACCTTTTTGCAAGGAGTCATGTTTGCATAGACCGCAATACCTGCAGTCATAATACAAACAAAAGAACATAACTCTGATAATGTGCACTGTCCCTGAAGTTGATTGGTCCACACCCGAGACAGCTTTCCTTCGAGCCTAGTCTCATATGGGTTGGACCAGATGACGCCAAAAGGCGCACAACTCAAGGACAATGCACCATCAGAGTATGAGAGCTCGGGGCAAGCATCTACACTATGGGGACCTCATTTGCCAGTAAAAATATGATAATTGGTTTTTTACCCTTCTATCTGGCGTCATCTGGTCCAACCCATATGAGACTAGGCTCGAAGGAAAGCTGTCTCGGGTGTGGACCAATCAACTTCAGGGACAGTGCACATTATCAGAGTTATGTTCTTTTGTTTGTATTATGACTGCAGGTATTGCGGTCTATGCAAACATGACTCCTTGCAAAAAGGTGTCAGTTTTGTTGCCAGATAGAAGGGTAAAAAACCAATTATCATATTTTTACTGGCAAATGAGGTCCCCATAGTGTAGATGCTTGCCCCGAGCTCTCATACTCTGATGGTGCATTGTCCTTGAGTTGTGCGCCTTTTGGCGTCATCTGGTCCTACCCATATGAGACTAGGCTCGAAGGAAAGCTGTCTCGGGTGTGGACCAATCAACTTCAGGGACAGTGCACATTATCAGAGTTATGTTCTTTTGTTTGTATTATGACTGCAGGTATTGCGGTCTATGCAAACATGACTCCTTGCAAAAAGGTGTCAGTTTTGTTGCCAGATAGAAGGGTAAAAAACCAATTATCATATTTTTACTGGCAAATGAGGTCCCCATAGTGTAGATGCTTGCCCCGAGCTCTCATACTCTGATGGTGCATTGTCCTTGAGTTGTGCGCCTTTTGGCGTCATCTGGTCCAACCCATATGAGACTAGGCTCGAAGGAAAGCTGTCTCGGGTGTGGACCAATCAACTTCAGGGACAGTGCACATTATCAGAGTTATGTTCTTTTGTTTGTATTATGACTGTAGGTATTGCGGTCTATGCAAACATGACTCCTTGCAAAAAGGTGTCAGTTTTGTTGCCAGATAGAAGGGTAAAAAACCAATTATCATATTTTTACTGGCAAATGAGGTCCCCATAGTGTAGATGCTTGCCCCGAGCTCTCATACTCTGATGGTGCATTGTCCTTGAGTTGTGCGCCTTTTGGCGTCATCTGGTCCAACCCATATGAGACTAGGCTCGAAGGAAAGCTGTCTCGGGTGTGGACCAATCAACTTCAGGGACAGTGCACATTATCAGAGTTATGTTCTTTTGTTTGTATTATGACTGCAGGTATTGCGGTCTATGCAAACATGACTCCTTGCAAAAAGGTGTCAGTTTTGTTGCCAGATAGAAGGGTAAAAAAACAATTATCATATTTTTACTGGCAAATGAGGTCCCCATAGTGTAGATGCTTGCCCCGAGCTCTCATACTCTGATGGTGCATTGTCCTTGAGTTGTGCGCCTTTTGGCGTCATCTGGTCCAACCCATATGAGACTAGGCTCGAAGGAAAGCTGTCTCGGGTGTGGACCAATCAACTTCAGGGACAGTGCACATTATCAGAGTTATGTTCTTTTGTTTGTATTATGACTGCAGGTATTGCGGTCTATGCAAACATGACTCCTTGCAAAAAGGTGTCAGTTTTGTTGCCAGATAGAAGGGTAAAAAACCAATTATCATATTTTTACTGGCAAATGAGGTCCCCATAGTGTAGATGCTTGCCCCGAGCTCTCATACTCTGATGGTGCATTGTCCTTGAGTTGTGCGCCTTTTGGCGTCATCTGGTCCAACCCATATGAGACTAGGCTCGAAGGAAAGCTGTCTCGGGTGTGGACCAATCAACTTCAGGGACAGTGCACATTATCAGAGTTATGTTCTTTTGTTTGTATTATGACTGCAGGTATTGCGGTCTATGCAAACATGACTCCTTGCAAAAAGGTGTCAGTTTTGTTGCCAGATAGAAGGGTAAAAAAAACCAATTATCATATTTTTACTGGCAAATGAGGTCCCCATAGTGTAGATGCTTGCCCCGAGCTCTCATACTCTGATGGTGCATTGTCCTTGAGTTGTGCGCCTTTTGGCGTCATCTGGTCCAACCCATATGAGACTAGGCTCGAAGGAAAGCTGTCTCGGGTGTGGACCAATCAACTTCAGGGACAGTGCACATTATCAGAGTTATGTTCTTTTTTCTTGGTTCTTTCGGTAAAGTCACGTAGAAGGGAAGTAATAAAATAATAAAAATAAAACATAATAAAACAATTCTCACAATTATTTTTATTATTTTATTACTTCCCTTCTACGTGACTTTACCGAAAGAACCAAGAAGATGAATCCCTGCAGTCACGAAAGCTTTAAATAGAAATTTATGTTCTTTTGTTTGTATTATGACTGCAGGTATTGCGGTCTATGCAAACATGACTCCTTGCAAAAAGGTGTCAGTTTTGTTGCCAGATAGAAGGGTAAAAAACCAATTATCATATTTTTACTGGCAAATGAGGTCCCCATAGTGTAAAAAAAAACGTACCAATTTTCTTTTCAGTCGGGGTTTTGCGGTTCGAGGGCGTTTCCTGCCACTGCGACGCAGATCGGTAGAGCGAGTTCGCCTCTTCTCTCCCTGCACCCAAAGCAGCAAACCCCAGGCAGCGATGGAGAAGGCGGTGGCAGCCAACACCGAGTTCGCCATCGACGTCTTCAAGACGCTGGGTGCACGGGAGGCTGGCGGCAATGTCTTCTTCTCCCCGCTCAGCATCTCGGCGGCGCTGTCCATGGTGCTGCTCGGCGCTAGGGGACAAACGTCTGAGCAAATGTCCAAGGTAACAACAACAAACAAACAACAACAGCAGCAGCAAAAAATATCCACGTCTCTTGCAACGCGCGCTCACCCCCGGGCAACGTGATACAAGAAACCCGCTCGCATGCGGCATCGAACGCCGTGGGTTAGTCGGCGTTTTGATTCACTCCGTATCTGCACCTGGTCTCTCCTGTGTCGAGTTCTGTCGGGCGCAGGGTGGTCCAAGATGTCTCGTGACACCCATTCATCGTTGCTCTAAAACGTAATGTTTTAGCGTGCGTACCAATCGGGGTGTGGAATGTGTAATGTAACTTTTTAAAAGTGTCATTGTTAGATATTTCACAGCAATACTTTGGAAGATCTTTCGCGGTTTGTTTTCTGGTTTGTGGTCTTTCGTGAGCCAATGCGCCCACTACAAGATGTTCTTCCATAGCATATGAACAAGACTTTCTTCAAGAGCATATGAACAAGACGTTTTTCAATAGCATATGAACTCGCAACAGGCATCTCAAATAAGTAAAGGTTAATTTAAAATAAAAATTAATAAACAAAGGGGGGGAAATGTTAGTCGTCAATAAAGTACATAGTACATATATAAACACGTCAACAGTGCTCGTGGTGCTGTCGTACTTTATCGAGTCATTTCCCTACTTCCTTGTGTTGTACAGGATAAGCCTCGAGGCAATGGTGGCGTGTTCACGTGTTTAAGTGGGGTGTCATGCCGAGAATCGCTGCGTGCAAATTGTGTCCGTGTCTTGTAATCCGGCGCATGGACACGTATCACAGGTGAGCGAGGCCACTGTCGTGAAGATTTTGAATAAGATGCATTTTTTATTTCGATTTAAAGCTTTCGTGACTGCATGGATTCATCTTCTTGCTTCTTTCGGTAAAGTCACGTAGAAGGGAAATAATAAAATAAAAAGAATAAAACATAATAAAATACAATTTTCACGACGTTTCGGCCACAACGCAAGCAGCCGTCCTCAGGTGAAGAACAGGTCTGTCGGAAAGACAGCGTCTGAATGTCTTGCCGAAGCGCGACGGGAACCACCACACGCCAACGACCCAACAAATCGTCCCTCCACATCATCAAACCGTCCTGGAAGGCCGCTTGCGGTGAGTCGTCCTTCGCCGAAGACACATGCGACCCATCAAGCCCGACACCACAACGAAACCAACGAGTCGTATAATAGTTGCTCGCGTACCCATACCGAGCGCGGCAGGTGCAACGCACCGTCAGCCAGCCCCGGGCCTGGCATGCTCCACGGAATTTGCCACCGCGGACATGACAGGCCGAGGGAGCTGAAGAGGACGTGTGCAACGATTAGTGCTTGATGCACACGTGCAAGGGGACCCTTGCGCCAATCTGGAGAGCGCATCCGCATTACTATGCCGATAACCCTTACGGTAATTTACCTCAAAGGAGAATTCCTGCAACGTCTCGAGCGATCGAGACAGCTGGCCAGATGGCTGTTCGATTTTCAAGGAATACTGTAGGGCAGCATGGTCAGTGCAAACAACACATTTTATGCCGTACAGGTAAGGACGATATTGGCAAAAGAAGTGGACGATCGCCAATAGTTCCCTTCTCGTAACACAGTAGTGACTTTCAGCCGGAGAAAGGACATGGCTACCATACGCAACAACCCTCTCCACGCCATTCTTGGACTGGGACAAGACGGCGCCAATGCCTGTATCGCTGGCATCAGTGTCCAGGATAAACGGCAAGGAGAAGTCAGGGTAATCAAGCGTCGGCGCAGGCGCCAAGCGATCCCGAAAGGTCCTGAACGACTCTTCCTCCTCCATCCCCCATTTAAAGAGGCTTTGCGATGGTAGCAAAATTTTGGAATGAACCAACGGTAGTAGGATGCGAACCCGACAAAACTACGCACATCCCCCACGGAAGTTGGGATCGGCCAGTCACGAACACAAGAAGTTATGTTAGGGTCCGTGGCGACACCGTCGGAGCTAACAGTGTGTCCTAAGTAACGCATGGAACATTTCAATAGATGACATTTCTTAGGCTTAAATTTGAGATTAGCGGAACACATCCTGTCGAAAACAGCCTTCAATCGCCGAAGGTGTTCCTCGAACGTACGACTGAACACAATAATGTCATCCAAGTATATGAGACACGTGTCCCATTGCAACCCGTCTAAAAGCAGCTCCATAAAGCATTAGAACGTGGCGGGAGCGGAATTCAGACCTATGGGAAGACAGTTAAATTGGAAAAGTCCCTGAGGCATACGGAATGCAGTTTTTGGCTTCGAAGAATCGTCGAGGGGCAGCTGCCAGTACCCGTAAGAAAGATCGAGGGTGAAAAAGTATCGCGCCCTTCACAACGCATCGAGGGAATCGTCCATTCATGGCAGAGGGTACGCATCTGCTATGGATACCTTATTAAGCTTACGAAAATCAACACAAAACCGGAGGTTACCATCTTTTTTCTTAACAAGAACAACAGGTGCTCCCCAGGGGCTATTATATGGAGAGATTATATCAGCGGCCAGCATCTCATCCACCACGCAGTGAACATGGTCCCTCTCCGAGGGGCTCAACTGGTGTGAATTCAGTCGTATAGGGCTCGCCTCCTCGGTATCAATGTGGTGGGACAAGATCGATGTGCGGACAAATCAAAGTCATCTTTGCTAAAAACGTCGGCGTAGTAGGATAGCAGCGCCCGTAGCGTGCCGCGTTGATCAGTGGCCAACGACGAATTCTCCTGGCACAAATCCGCGATCCAACGAACGGGCATTTAGGATCCCAGAGGAATCTCAACAGTGACATCTGCAAGCGCCTGCACAGCCATGCATGGTGGAGGACGACTGAGCGGGGATGGCAAAAATAACATCTTACGGCCTGCTGGCAACTCTAAACATCCCTGATCAACAAGGATTTTAACAGGCATCTTACGAAGAAAGTCTGTGCCCAAAAAGCAGGGCACCGCCAAGGACCTAGAAATCAAAACCGTTCCTGATGCAGCAACATTCCCAATGGCAATATGGGCATCCACTTGCCCGACGATGCCCATACTACCCCCATTGGCAGCAATACACGCATCAAAAGCTGGCCGCACCCGTGAGGCGGGGATAGAAAGGAGGTGGAAAGTCACGTCGGAGATAATAGTGGCAGACGCCCCAGTGTCCACTAATATCCGAACGTCTACCCCCTGTATAGAACCCGGCATCGTGAAGGATCCCGTCGCTGCTGCCACAACACATCGTGCCAATTTCCTCCATTGTGTTATCGACTGCGGTGAACCCCCAACGGCATCGTCTGAATCGCGAAGTGGTGGGTTACTACGCGCGTCGGAAGATGCATGAGATGTCTATTGATGCCGGGTGTCTGATGCGTGCCGACTTGCCTGGCCGGGGTCTTGGTCCTTCCATGGAGGCGGCGCTAAAGATGGAGCCCCGGGAGGTGGTGGAGGACGAGGGCGACTCCAGCAGTCCCGTGCGAAGTGGCCCAAGCGGCCACACTTGAAACACATCATCCCAGCCTGCCGAGTGGCCCCATCATCGGCCCCGCGCCACTTATAGGACCCTTCACGATGCGAGTCTGATCTCCGCCGTGGATTCCAGCGAGGAGCGGCGGCGGCCGGGTCCCCGACCCCCACGTCGTCTGGGATGTGGAAGACTTTAGATGGCGCCCATCCCTTCAGTTCACCATCTCGGGCCGGGTCTCCCGTCCAGGCGGCCATCTGTGCCTAACGCCGCAAGTTGTCCTGGGCGTCGAGGCACCTAGCGACCCACCGGGATGTCAGCGGCTCATGACCGCACACCGGCAGTGGAATGCCCATATCCTTTGACAGTTCCAACATCTTGCCCAAGATGAGAGGGTCGAGCACATCAGGTCGGCAAGGGGAGATTCGAAACTTCCTCTGAGTGTCTGAAGGTGGCTCATAAACTTCCACCATCTTGGCAAACGTGCCCTTCAATGTCTTCTTCTTGTCAGAGGGAATAGAGCAGAACACCGCTAGCGCCACGTCGTCGAGGAGGGTAGGTAACGCGTCCAACGCCTCCTCTTCCGTCCACTGCACCGAACGAAATGCCGACTCGAACCGCCATGTAAAAGCACTCGAGTCGCCACCCGCGACGAATTCCTTGATGTGGGGAAGACGATGACTGCGCCCCGCACTGCCGTCACCATCGGGCTTCGTCACAGCCGGCAGCGCGCCACGCGGCTCCGGCGAAATGGTGGGCTCAGACTGCACTTCTGCAGCCGCGCCCAAGATGGCGCCCACTGCGGTCGTAATGGCGGACGGCCCCTCTGCGGTCGTAATGGCAGACAGCCCCTCCACGGGTGTAATGGCGGCCGTGAATTGCATGAGGGCACCCTCCGAGGCCCCCCGAAGGGAGCCCTGCACATCACCACTCGGCAGCACGTCCTGTGGCCGTCCCGGAGCCGCAGATGACGCGACCAGCATCACGAGGTGAAGTAGAACCGTGCGGAGAGAATCGATCTGCTCAGCAACACGCTGCCAGCCGTCGTCCGCACCCGGAGACGAAGACGGCTCTGCTCCGACGTCCTTCCTCGGCGCAATGGTCGCGCCAGCCGTGGTTACAGTAACCGGGTCCACAGCACCCGGGGTCGGCAGGTCTTGAGTGAACGAGTCGTCATCGTCGTCGGAAGACGGTGCAGGTGGGTTCTTTTTCTTGAGATGTTTGGACATCCTTGCAGTATGTCCCGTTGTCCGGTTTCAAGGGTCACTTCTGGCACCAGTTGTAGTAAAACACTTCGACAACAAACGTTGACGTGCGTCTTTCTTTCTTAATTTCCGTGTCGGCTGAACAGCTCCACGCTCCTTCTTATGTATTAACCGGTCGTTCTTCTCTGCGCGGCGTATGTTGACATTGTCCCGCGCACGGCTCGCTCACGTTCCCCGCTCCTGCGCACCGCTGGCTGGCGGCGCGCAAGGAGGCAACCCTCGGACCGCCATGTGGCTGCTGGCATTCCGAAGGCACGAGACGTGGTTCCGCTTCAAGACTTCCCACACTGACCTCGAGCCTTTTCCTGCTTCCCCTTATATCCCTCTCACACGGAGCCAAGCCACGCCTCTAGCTACGCCCCTTCTAGAACCTTCCCGATGGTTCTCCGCGAGCACCCTTGAGCTCCGCCCCTGAACTTTGGCCCAGATGATCCCTATTAACTTGACTGGCTTATAATTGATGCAGCGGAGCCTATCCAGCCGGTCGGCGACCGTCGGTGTACTCTCTTATTACAAATCTTTTTAATTAATACTGTCACTGTCAGACTGTCTTCCGCTAAACCCAATACATGCTGCAACTAAAATGATATATAGTTGTAGCCTAACATATGATTGTACATACGGGGTTAAAAACATTGGTGGCTATTTCGATAAAATTGAGTTGGAAGGAAGGAGGGGGGCCCACAGTCTCTACCTTGCATAGCCCCCCACACAGCCATTGCCAATAATACAACTAAGGCAATGCAAATGGAATAAAAATGGTATCCTTGAATCATGTCTCTGATTCTCGACAATACATAGCAAATCGCTTGTGGTGTGAATCATTATGTGCCCGCCCATCAGAATGCCCATCAGGGCTACACATAGCCTTGGCTCTGGTCGGTGCGAGTCATCCCGTCATGTGCGAGTCATCCGATGGAGCCCCAAGCCACGACAGCAAGGATGCCGGGTTTACCAAGGATGTTTTGATTCCTCAAAGAAAGTGTGTTAACGTGTTCGTGCCTGTGTTCATGTGCTTTGCTTGTAGGCGCTTTGCTTTGAAGGAGTGAGCGATGTTCACGAAGCTTTCAAGAGTCTGCTCGACACTTTGAAATCTCCCGGGGCGGGCTGCGTCCTGCGTGTTGCCAACCGTCTCTACGGCGAGAAGTCCTTCCGCTTCCTCAAGGTGATAGAAACGTGATGTATGTATGTATATACGTTAAACTTATTTCGCACCGTACGTAGCCAACCGTGCTAACCGGAGGAGCGGGAAAAGAACAACAAACTAAACACAAATCAGTTCTAAAGAAATTCGTCTTCATCCTAGATATAAAACGTAAACATTTGGCATGTTTGTTTTCCGCCTACAAATGTATCTTCCAGGAAATTTGTTGCCATGGCTCTCTGCTGTAGGGGTTTCTAGGTGTGGCTCAGACGTTCTATGAGGCCGAGTTCCTCGAGGAGATGAGAAAGACAGAGAGAGAGACGTGTTTAATCCGATGGAGAAAAGTGTCGTTCACCTAAACATTTTGCACGATGTTTTTATTTTTTTATTTCTCCGAAAGTATTTTTTGAACAAGACCATTCAGGTACACAACACAGAGAGGATATGAAAGGAGGCTGACACCAGCACAACCGCACATTACAGACTACAGTGCAATGGAGACCCGTCTATACCGCACGTTGCAATAAACCTTCCAATTCTCTGGTGTCTTCCTGAGATTTGATACCCACGTCGGCGAAGGGGAAAAAGGGAAAAAAAATGGTGGGGATGGATCTAAATGTCCGAATTAATGCTTTCAAGAATCAGTGTCCACTCGTGGTAAGCTTCCTCCTTGCCCATAGCTTTGCACTTAGATGCTCGAGAGCGGCAATTAATGACAATTCATTGGCCCATTCCTGCAGTGTTGGGGGGGGGCGTGCTCTTTCCAGTTGGCTATAATGATGCGTTTGTTGTTTTCCTTTTTACATATGCATCTTTGATGTAAAAAAAAAACCCGTTGCAATGGCGCTGTCTCTCTCTCTCTCCCCTTTAGGGATATCTGAAAGCGACTCAGAAGTTTTATGACGCCAAGTTGGCTGCCGTAGACTTCACGAAATCATTTGAGGGTGTGCGGAAGAAAATCAACGCCTGGGTGGAAAAAAAAACTGAAGGTAAAGGGCACATTCGCTCCTCTTTTCGAAGGCTCGTGGAGGGAAGCTGCCTGCAATCCAGCACTTTGGAGACTATTCACGCGGTGGCAGGAGAGTAAATGGATTGTAAACTTGTCTTTGCACCCCTTAAGTACTGTAATAGTGTGTATGTTGAACTTCTTTCCCGCCGTACGTAGCCAACCCATGCTAATCGGAGGTGCGGGCAGGGGAGGGCACAACAAACTTAACACAAGAATCAGTTTTAAAGAAAATGCATAACTCCAGTGGCTTCCTAATAAGTGTTCCAACCGGCCGCAGAAGCGCGTCTGAAATCGCGCGACGCGGTGACCGACTTTGTCCAATGGCCCAGCCAAATGCCACTTGCGAGGATGACCGGAGTTTCGCGTGATTGTTCACGCTCCTTGATGAGATCAGCGAGGTGTTGCGGTTCATTTGTGGCGAGCGCTTTTGTGTGGAACGAGTGCGACCTTCTAAAGCATTCGTTGGGCAAACGAAAGGCAATTCAGCTTGGCGAGCACCGGAAGGACCCGATCGGATGTTGCAGTTCCCATCACGACACGGGTACTGCAACATCCGATCATACCCTCCTTGCATATGGGGGTTTTCTCTGGGTACTCCCATTTCTTTGCACACGTGATGCTTCTAAAAGGGAAGTGTTCAAATACCCCAATGTAGAAGCAGACTGAAATATTGTTTCGAGTCTTAAATTTGTCTTTATAAATGTGTAGTGACATAAGAAGGGAGGGGCTGCTGTAGGCTCTGGGTTCCCAGGTGGGTCCAGACGCGTAATCCCCTGGGCGCCAGGCGCTGGGTTCCCAGGGGGTCCAGACGCTTAAGCCTCTGGGCGCCGCCAACGGGGGGGGCTGTGTGTGCTCTGTGGGATGTCTGGTGGCGCACACGGCCCCACCCCTCGTTGGGGACTGGGCATATAACCGGAGCTCCCTGGACGATCGGCCCCCAGTTGTAACTCAAGACCCAAGACCCACGACCAGCCATCTGAAGACCCTGGGATGCTGTGAGAGCCAGCGCTGGGACTCTGGAACTCCCGACGCTACGACCTTGTGAGGGCGAGTTCCGGAGCGTAGCCAGAGTAGAGTATCTAGGCTGTGTAGCTAGGCTGTGTACCTAAGCTGTAGCAGAGTACCAGGACTGTTGGAGTGTTGTGTTGTAATAAAGAAGTTACCTCTACAAGTGTCTCCGGAACCTGTTACATTTGGCGTCAGAAGTGGCAATGGAGACAAGAGGTGAACCACGTACCTTCAATCCTGACGGCGATGAAGAGGAGCAGGCAGCGATGGGGCGGCCAACGCCGGCCGACAGCGACGCTGCACCGCCGGCCGACAACAACGCCGCACCGCCGGCTGAGCAGCTGTCTGCTCCGCCGACCGTCCCCTCTCCAGCGTCGGGAGCAGAGATGGAGGAGGCGCTGCTTCGCCTCGCAGAGCTGCTCTGCGCCACCGCCTCCCTCCTGGGCGAGCTGCGGTGCTCGCGGCCGATGGCGGGAGGGAGAGAGGAGGCGCGGCGCTCGCCCGAGCCCAACGCCGCCGCCATTCCCCCCACGGATGTGAGGGACACTTCCGGGTGTGTCGTCACTTCCACCAGAGGAGCAGTGACCGCTGGGAGCGACGTCACTTCCGGGCCCAGCGTGTGCCAACCCGACGACGCCGCGTCATCAGCGCTGCGTCCCTCACCGCCGGGTGACAGCTGTTGGCAACCTAGCACAGCGCGTCATCAGCGCTGCGACCGGACAGTGAGGGCGCCATTCTTACTGTAACCGGCGCCGGGGCCGGCACATGGACCGACACGCAGCTCGCCGCCTTTGCTGCTCTGGCCAAAGGTTGGAGGTCGGGAGACCAGGCCCCTGACATTTCGTACATTTACGCGCTCCGGATTAATGATTTTTTTGTTGATATTTTCTTCGTTGTCGTCGGGGAGTCGTGACTGTTGTTGGGTAAACTGTGTGGAGCTTCGCTCGTGAGTGTTGTCAATGTGTGTGCGAAACTTTGCTTGTGATTGTTAACAATGTATGGTTTATATTGAGCTTTGTTCGTGATTGTTAATGTATAGCTTGTGCTGTCATTGTTAACGATGTATATACTGTATGGGGCATTTATCTTGAGATGGTGACATGCTGCCAAGGATTGGAATTGTCATGCTGGCTCTCAAATATCTTGGGGTGCAGATCCTGACCAGGATGTCCCAGCGGGTGTTGCGTGTCTAACACGAGAGTTGTGGTCCCGTCATGCTATGGCTGACGGCTTGACCTGACAGCCCGGAGATAGACACTCCGTGGCATGTCTAGCCTAGTGGGCTGTGTGCTCACATGGCTCGGAGAGTGTGGTCCCGTCATGCTATAGCTGACGGCTTGACCTGACAGCCCGGAGATTGAAACACTCCGTGGCATGTCTAGCCTAGTGGGCTGTGCGCTCACATGGCTCGGAGAGTGTGGTCCCGTCATGGAATAGCTGACGGCTTGACCTGACGGCCCGGAGGTTGAGACCCTCCGTGGTACGTCTGGAGCAGTAGGCTCACCCTGACGGCCCGGAGATTGAAACACTCCGAGGCGCGTTGAAACAGTGGGCTGGAGATTCGTGGTGTTCAGGTGTAGTTGTCCCGTTACGTTGGGACTGTATCCCTCAGTTGTTAGGGTGCATGTTGTGCAGGGAGTGAACAATGGGTCGTCTCAGATCGGTCGGTACAGCTATATGCTGCGATGCGAGTCTTGGAGAGAGATTGGGTCTCAGATCGGTCGGTACAGCTATATGCTGCGATGCGAGTCTTGGAGAGAGGTTGGGTCTCAGATCGGTCGGTACAGCTATATGCTGCGATGCGAGTCTTGGAGAGAGGTTGGGTCTCAGATCGGTCGGTACAGCTATATGCTGCGATGCGAGTCTTGGAGAGAGGTTGGGTCTCAGATCGGTCGGTACAGCTATATGCTGCGATGCGAGTCTTGGAGAGAGGTTGGGTCTCAGATCGGTCGGTACAGCTATATGCTGCGATGCGAGTCTTGGAGAGAGACTGGGTTGAAGTCCCCCCCGATATGGCCGACGTGCGCGGTTTTAGGATGGAGACGCCACGTTGGAAAGGCGGGGGGTGCAAACGGTTGACATGTAATGTGGGTGGTGGTCCTCATTGAGGGCTGCTGGGACGCAAGCACGGGATGCCTTTTGGAGATGCGGTTCATGCGTGCGGCCACCATTTATGGACAGGAGCAGGCAGATTTATTTTGTTTGTGTCATGTAAATTTTATATATATATATTTTTAAAATGTAGATACTGGAGCAGCCCTGAAGTACGACTTCTTTGCCCAGTACATGGGTCGGCCCTGAAGTACGACTTCTCGACCCGGGACGTAGACAGACGTCCGGATAAGTGCGTGTAGAGGGATGCTCGACATGTTGGTCTTCGCCTTCTCTCCACCTGACGGATGGGAGGCTGGCAGGGTGGTGTGGATCCCTGCCATCCATGCGGTGATTGTGTGATTTCGGTTCGATTACCGGTGTTGGTTGGGCATCCAACGCGTCGGAATCTGTATATTTGTTGTTGTTAATTCCCCGTTTTCTATGCGGATCCCGAGGAGGGCTAGGTGGGCCGCGGGTCGTTTGTTCACATGTCATTGCTTCACCTTTTTGTTGATTGATGCTTGTATATAGTGTAGAGTTGTACAGGTTGGTTATGGTATTTATGGTTGCTTTCTTGTTTTCTTTTCTTTTCCTGTTGAAGCTCGCGTATTTTTTTTTTCTTCTCTCTCTCCCTTTCGTTAATTTAAACTTTCTAATTATTGACAGCCGGGACGGCTGGAGGCTACATAGAGGGGGGTAATGTAGTGACATAAGAAGGGAGGGGCTGCTGTAGGCTCTGGGTTCCCAGGTGGGTCCAGACGCGTAATCCCCTGGGCGCCAGACGCTGGGTTCCCAAGGGGTCCAGACGCTTAAGCCTCTGGGCGCCGCCAACGGGGGGGGGCTGTGTGTGCTCTGTGGGATGTCTGGTGGCGCACACGGCCCCACCCCTCGTTGGGGACTGGGCATATAACCGGAGCTCCCTGGACGATCGGCCCCCAGTTGTAACTCAAGACCCAAGACCCACGACCAGCCATCTGAAGACCCTGGGATGCTGTGAGAGCCAGCGCTGGGACTCTGGAACTCCCGACGCTACGACCTTGTGAGGGCGAGTTCCGGAGCGTAGCCAGAGTAGAGTATCTAGGCTGTGTAGCTAGGCTGTGTACCTAAGCTGTAGCAGAGTACCAGGACTGTTGGAGTGTTGTGTTGTAATAAAGAAGTTACCTCTACAAGTGTCTCCGGAACCTGTTACAAATGGATGACTTTTGTGGTAGTTTAGAGTTTTCACTTAAGTGTTATGTTTAACTCAATGGTGCACGCTTTTCCATTCTAGGGAAAATCAAGGATCTTCTGGAAAAGGGAAAATTGGATGCCACGACTCGACTCGTGATTGTGAACGCAGTTTACTTCAAAGGGAGATGGACCAATAAATTCTACTCTCAAGATACCACTCAGTGCAACTTTCATCTCAACCAGGTAACTGTAACCACATTGTTTTTGTTTTTACCCGCGATGAAATTGTCGTCAAATTTAATGAGGATTGTTTTTGTTAGTATTTTTGTATTTCTAGTTGAGTAAAATATGTAGCTGGGTTGTAATGTTTAAGTAATGTGAATATAATGTCCGGACACTATCAATAAGTTCTCGATTTAATGTACTGTACATGTTTAGAGCCCAGTCTCACATGGGTTGGACCAGATGACGTCAAAAGGCTTGGACCAGATGGTCCAACCCATGTGAGACTAGGCTCTAAGAAAATATGTCTCGGGTGTGGACTAATCACCTTCAAGGACAGTGCATACATTATCAGAGTTATGTTTTTTGTTTGCATTATGACTGCAGGTATTGTGGTCTATGCAAACATGCCTCCTTGTAAAAAAGGTGTCAGTTTTGTTGCCAGATAAAAGGGTAAAACCAATTATCAAGACTTGGCCTTCTTTATTGGTTACAATGGTGGAACCATATATGCACAATGGAGAAATAACCAGTGATGTGTAATAATTTTCTTACACAGCGAGAGACAAAGCCAGTGCAGATGATGTCCCAAAATAACACGTTTCACTATGGCTTTGTCAAGAACATGAACTTAAATGTTCTGGAGCTTCCGTATGTGGGAAATGCACTGAGCATGATTATTCTGCTACCAGCTGCCATCGAGGATGAAACTAACGGTTTAGAAAAGGTAATTTCCTTCACAAATGCACACACTGCATCGTTTCAATTTCAAAATACACTGCGGTTTAAGTGCACTTCGGAATTATGCTAATATCATCAGTTCTAACCCCTGTTAATGCTTTGAAGATATCCAAGTGAAGAATGTTTACATTTTAATAAATATTGTAATATGACAGGACTAGAGACAACAGCTGTGATGCTTCCATGATTTAATGGGTTGGCACATTGGACTTGCAATCAAGAGATCACGGGTTCGATCTCCCAGCGCGGAAGTGGAAACGAAAAAAAAATACAAATATTACATAGAAAACAAGGGGAACATAGACAGAGTAGGGAGAGAGGGGGTCGAGAGAGGGGGGGGGGGTAGAGAGAGGGGGGGGGGTAGAGAGAGAGGGGGGGTAGAGAGAGTAGAAAGAGAGGGGGGGGGTAGAGAGGGGGGGGGGGTAGAGAGAGGGAAGGGGTAAGAAGGAAGAGAGCAGAGCGTGAAGTCTTTTGTTAAATCTTTCATTTAAAAAGGGGGGGGGGGGGCACGTAAAACAAAGTATTGAAAAAAAATCGAAATGATGAACGAAGCAAAGTGCCGACTACACCGAGCATCTTCTTGTTTCCTCTTATCGTCAGATAAGTATAACCCGTAAAAACAAAGTTTTTCACTATAAATCCTTTATATGCGTGGCGGCTAGAGTCCTCTCGTCCTCTGGCTTGAGATGGCTGCCACCTATGGGTCAGATGATTGTCTGCCAGTATTAAGCAATTGGTAATTAAATATTTAATTTGTTTTCCCTAAACAGTGTAAAATTTAGGAAAAAATTTTTTCACGAACATTAATTGTCTTGCACAACGAGTCTGTGTGCAAAATGTCAGCTCGATTGGATCACGGGAAGTGGGTTAAAAAACGACCGAAAGATTTGCACGGTCGTAAGCAAGCAAGCAAGCACGCAAGCACGCAAGCAAGCAAGCGAACTTAATATAAAGGATTTAAAAAAGAGGCGAGTTTCTCAAATCCCCCTGCGTCTCTCTCTCTCTCTCTCTGCAACCAGCGGTAGCGTGCTTGCTGCTTGTTGCCGAGTCGCGCGGTTCGTGTCCTGGCATTCCGCCCCGATTATTACTGTGCGTGCAATTGATCATACACACGCGCCGGTTGCTTCGCAGTGGGAGGTCAGAGATAGTATGTTGTCCTTCCCCCCGTTCGCGACGTATGGTGCAAAAGAAGTTCAACATACATACATGCATATGCACGTGACGTCATTCGAAAAGAGCAGGCCGTTGTGGTTTGGCGTAGCGGTTAAAAAAATGCCCACAAATTACACAATTGGGATTTTACACGTAGCAGTCATCGCCTCCTTCTGTCAGATAAATTCCCCACTTGCAGGCCCGTGCTAAGCCACCTTGTGTCACACAAGGGAACAGCTTCCATCGGGGGGGGGTCTCCCTTTTGACCAAAAAATTAAGCTGTGCTCCGAGACGTTGCTTTACGTTAATGGGCGCTGTATAAAAAGTAGGCTTATTATGAGAAATGGGGTGAAGGTGTGAGTACATGCAACGTCCCTCAAGATTTCTGGCCAGTATGGAAGAGCAGGTTAAAATATCCTCCAGATGGGTTCTACAGAGGTCCCTGTGGCGATGTCCGTTCTGCCAGCAGTAACGTGAGCAAGCAATTGCAGGAATGCACCATTGCATCTCGGTTCGGTGTGAGGACGGTGAGTTTTTACAGTCGCCGTTTGCCCTCGCCGGAAATGTTCACCGAGCATTGCCTACTCGGCCACTTTTCGTTTCAACCGCGTCTCTTTCGTTGTTCTCGCAATGAACGGATCAGCTGGAGAGGGAGCTGAACATTCAGAACCTTCAAGCGTGGACATCGCCCACGACGATGCACTCTGGGGATGTTTTGCTGCACCTCCCACGCTTCCGCCTGGAGCAAAGCTACACCCTCATTGAGCCACTCTCGAGCCTCGGCATGGGAGACCTCTTCTCGCCGCTCACTGCCGACTTGTCGGGCATGGACGGAAACCGTGACCTGTTCGTTTCGCACGTGGCCCACCGCGCCTTTGTCGAAGTGAATGAAAAAGGGACGGAGGCGGCTGCCGCCACCGTATTAGTCGAAATGTTGTATGGCATGCCCACGCCCACGGAGCCACCCTTTACATTTTGCGCCGATCACCCATTCATCTTCCTCATTCGTGACAACCGCAATGGAAGCGTTCTCTTTTTGGGTCGCTACACGTCCCCCTGAAGGTCCATCGAGGCTCCGATTTTCGTTGAGAAATGTGTACCGTCTGATTTGATTGTGCTACTTTAAGGGAAAAATACACTCATATACCAGTGGGAAGACACTCCGTCAGAGTGGGGGGGAAATATACTGGGGATAATATACACTCGACTTGAAATGTGTTGTTGTGGCACTCTTGATTATTGTTGTTCTTGAGTATTGTTGGCAAAACAATTACATTTTTGGCTGCTGGGTATTGTTGGGAGGGCTGCGTGATTAAAGTCTCTCGAAAAATTGCAGTGCGTGTGAGATTGCTCTGGACACACCCGCAGTTATATCAACCAGCCACTTTACAATTATTAATTCCGGTGGTGACACGTGGTACATTTAAATAGCAGTTTCATGAAACAAAACAAGTTCATTTTTTTTGGAAGAATAAGTGTTGATAGTCTTGATTTTATTGACAAGATTTTGGCAATGATTTCAAGAGAACAACAGCCATCAGATATTACCTCAATTACCTTGGGAACTATTTGTTATCGTGAACCACTTAGTGTATGTTTAAAACTGTTCATCATATACTCCACTGGACGCTGGTCGTGTATAGAGAGACAGAAAAAATAGTTGAACTGAATTATACACCACAGGGCCCTGACCTAAAATAAAAAAATTTTCCAGGTGAAAAGTCTTACATTGGTGTATGATATTACCCATGAGTAGATGTTAAATAACAGACACACCCTTTAAAATAAAAACAAATGTTACGCTTGAATTTTATTTGTATTTAAAGTAATCAAAGGTTGTTGACAGTGCATCATGGGTAACGTTGTTACAGTTTGGTATCTGGTTGAAGAGAGACCCATTGCCTGCTGAGTAACTCAATTATGGGCCTCACTGATTATTTGAATAGGTCAAAAGAGGTTCTCAAAGGTTGAATGAAAGGAGGTTGAGATATTTAGAAAAGACAACAAAGGTACACTTCGCCCTATGGAAAGGGACTTCACTCACATCTCCAGGGCACACAAGACACTCGAGATTATTTACACATTTCCAGACCTTCACAAGCACACCTCACCATGATCTTATACGTGAAACTATTTGATCACGCCACAGTGATAATTAAACTCGTCTTGAATCTGGACGAGATTGAGAACCGCCTCTGGTCCCTGGACAGACGACTCCTGGAGGTAGATCCGTTCATCAGGGGATTTAAGGAGGATTTCTTGGATAATAATACGGTCCCGACATAGCTTTCGTGACTGCAGGAATCCCTCCTCTTTGCTTCTTTCGGTAAAGTCACGTAGATAGAACATTCATAGATCACGACGTTTTGATCGCAACACAAGCAACCGTCATCAGGTGAGACAACCACAGCTGCGTCAGCAGTTCTCCTGCTGTGTTTGTTTCACCTGATGACGGTTGCTTGTGTTGCGATAGAAACGTCGTCATCTATTCATTTTCTATCTACGTGACTTTACCGAAAGAACCAAAGAGTACGGATTGTAAATGTTGTGGATTTGATGTCAAACACACCGGTGTTGCTGTGCTCGTGTGGTGGTCATGATTGACACACACGCGCCACAACCAGGGAGAGGGGTAGAAACCGGTCCGGACCGGTCGGGCCAACGGCGGTTGGAACCCCTCTGAGGGGAGGGGGCTGGCAGGAGCTACGATCCCCCAGAACCCCGCCCCTCAGGGAGACAGAGTATTGTATATAAGGCGGGTCCCCGAGAGCGCGAGTCAGTCCGTCTCAAGCCGAAGCCAAAAGCCGCCTGAAGAAGAAGAAGACCCTGGACCCCAAGCCGCCGACGTCCTTCTAAGGGCCGGGGCTCAGTGCGGTGCCAGTGGTCGTGGGGTTAGGACTCTGAGGTTCCCTCGGCCTGATGCCCTTGTGAGGGCCAAGTCCGGACGGGCCAGTGGTCAGGGACTCACCGGGCCAGCGGTGGGTCAGCCTCCCCTAGGTCTAGCTAGTTGGAGAGCTGAAGTAGGGAGAGTCGTAGGTACGATAGCCCGGAGGCTGTACCTCCCAGGTTGTGGGTGAAAGGGGCCATTACCCCTTTGTGTTAGGGATTATTGTAAACTGTTTGAAATAAAGCGTGTTGCCTCTACGAAGACTCCGTCTCCCTCCAAGAACATTACACTAGTAACGAATTGGTCACGTTCTGTTTACGTGACAACACTTACTAGTTGGCTGTGTTGGGTGGTGGCGGGTTTTAGGACGCATTTATTTTTACGCGATCTAACCCAAAAGAAACCTGTTATGGATGATATTGGTGTCCAGTTTGGGGCGGGACGTTGCACCTTCCCGTGCCCCCACCCCCCGCAAACTCCGCCCATGAACCAACCCATGTATAGGAGGCGACCTAAACGAGCATTGTCTTTTCTTGACTTAAAGCTTTCGTGACTGCAGGAATTCATATTCTTTGGGTCTTTCGGTAAAGTCACGTAGATAGATTAAAAGAAAATAACAAAATGAATGATCGCTTGTGTCGAAACGTCGTCGTTTTTTGTTGTTATTTTTTTTATTTTCTTTGAACCTATCTGCGTGACTTTACCGAAAGACCCAAAGAATATGAGCATTGTTTTTCTTTCCACCCCTCCGAATCTGGCTCCCGTCTCATCTGCAGTGGTTCAGTTTCATGTATTAGGTATAACCCTGTGAGCAATGCGGCTCTTGACTCGGGTGCAACCGCAACAAAACAAAAACATGAACAAGAAACATCTTAAAGTGACTACACGCAACAGAAAAATCCTGGAACAAACAGCAAAGTCTTCCATAAAAAAACACCATATTTCAACGCTGTGTGCAAAATCCCAGTGGGATGCAAGTCAAACAATAACAACCATAAGACAATGTAGCTTAAAGTTATCAGGCTAACTCTGTACAACAACAAACAAACATGGCTAAACCAAAAAGTTTTCAAAATCACCAAAATAAAGCTATAAAAACAATGTAACAGTGATCATAGGAACTGTGATTCAAATTTAACAATAAACGATATACATAACATGTACGACCAAACTTTGCAGCCATAGCTGGCTGCATGAGTCACTCCTGTGACTCATGCAGAGTCACACTGCCCCCCTTAGCCTCGGTTACCCGACCCTACCATCCTGCAAACTTATTTCAGGAGGTGTGTGAGGCGTGGGGGGGAGGACCCATCTGACTATTGAACTATTGTTTTTTTTATTTTACCAGGTAAGGCCCACTGAGCTATATAGCGCTTAAAAAAAAGGCCTGGCCACAAATGATAGCTCTTCATCATCGTATGGAAACAGCAGCCAAATTATCTCAACGTTTGATGTTGATTTCTAAATGTGGAGGGGCAAAAAACCGGAGGACCCGGAGAAAAATCCACGTGACCACAGGCTGAACATGCAAACTCCAAATATACAGCAGCAGGCGTCAGGTTCGAGATCGAACCCACGACCTCCTGTATACCAGGCAATGTAATTAACATCTCGCCACTGTGGCGCCCTGCAGTATTTCGACTCAATTGACGCTTTCCTGGATGTACAAGCGCAATGCCAACTCTCACTGACACAAACACCAATACACAAAACGGGGTGCAATGTAAGAACAAAAAATTCCCCCACAAATGTAATATTTATTCACACGTGAAAAGTGCAAACGTGAAAATGCCCACGGTAGGCCACAGAGGGCGGTCACGTGCTTAGCTGAGACACGTTCAGCTGAGTTCTCATAAGAATAGGTTTTACCATTTCTGGCAATAAAACTGGAGGTTTTAAGTTGTAAAAACTCCAAACAGAAACCTTTTGCAAGGAAGCATGTCTGCATTAACCACACGTACTTGTGGTGAACATGCAAAAAAAACATTTTCTGATCATTGATTGGTCACACCAGAGACAGCTTTCTTTAAAGCCTAGTCTCAAACAGTGTTAGACCAAAGGATGCCAAAAGACGAACAGCACAGTATATGTTGAACACGTAGGCATTTGCGACAAATATTGATAATAAAGGTTTTTTGGGTGAGATCGCGTAAGTATAACCCTCCACCACCCGACACAGCCAATTAGTAAGGGATTTGTCACGTAAACAAAACACCAATTAATTACTACTTCAGCCCACTGGTGTATTGGAGAGTAAATCCACAACATTTACAATTTGAGTAGTACGACGTCTCGCTGGTAATTACATGCAGCATCATCGGGCAAATCCCGACACATTTATACTTACACGATCTAACTCCAAACCCTTTATTATGAAGCACAATATATACTTGTGGCGAACCGCATGTATATGTGGTTAATGCAGACATGATTCCTTGCCAAAGGTTTTCAGTTGGTGTTTTATCATCTTAACACCTCCAGTTTTATTGGCAGAAAGGGTAAAACCTATTCTTATACTTCGATACTGGCAAGGGAGGTCCCATGAATCAGTTCTCCTGGTTGCTGCTTCGACCACCGCCAACTCCACGTTCCTATCCCGGCCTCTTCAGCCACCATCTGGGGGAAGAAAAATACAAACTTGTGTTCGGTGAGGTCCTCTTGAAACACGTACCTCTTGTGCATCATCATCTTCGTCACCTTCATCATCATCAGCAACAGGAGCAACACCAGCAGCAGCAACGGTGGTGATCGCAATGTCTACGTGATCATGATTCATAATCGATGTTTTTTTTATTAGGTTGTGTAAGTGTAAACCCAATTGTTGTCGTATACCCTGCTCCACCCGACACAGTAAAACAAAGTTGTAACGTGAACAAAAGCACGCTAATTGATATTGTTTTCAGCAAACCAGAAAGACAAATCGAGGCATTATCGCACCTCCAATTAGCACGGTTGTCTACGTACGGCGCGAAAGAAGTTCAGCGTATATATACACATGCCATCGTCATGAAATCATCGTCGCAGTCACAATTTTCAACAATTTCATTTTCTGTATCATCGTCACTGCCATCTTCTTAATGTGCGTATGTGGGTGGCTTCCTTCCACCACTTGCTACAAAGTCTGTAGCATGCAAAGCTGCTCGAAAGTTTCATGAATACTCTATTCCACAAAAATATTTGTGCGGTTGAGTTGCGCAATCGCATCCGTGCGGAATGTTCAACCACATCCTCACGCAATCCGCAATCTGATTACTTAAGTCTAAAAATTCTGGATTCTAAAAAGCAGATCCCAATGTGCCACCATGTACGGAAAGCAGGAAATCAACAGAACCTGCAGGGTAAACGGCCAGAACTAGGATTTATAGGCGAATTTAAAGAGGTAGGTTTTAAAGACAAACTGAACGAGGTCTTAACGACTCTTGATTGTATTTTTTTATTTAAAGCTTTCGTGACTGCAGGGATTCATATTCTTGGTTCTTTCGGTAAAGTCACGTAGAAGGGAAATAATAAAATAATAATCATAAAACATAATAAAATAAAATTCTCACGACGTTTCGGCCACAACGCAAGCAGCCGTCCTCAGGTGAAGAAACAGAGCTGTCGGAAAGACAGCGTCCTAATTAACACTGCTAAGCTTCGCAGCGTATTTTAAGCTAGGTGGGAGGAGAGAGCCTTGACAAAGGAGTTTACATATCAACAGAAGAATTTAACATATTGATGACAAATGCAGATATGGGGTTAGTCACTCCTTGCGGAATGTGTACGCGGTGGGGGGTCTCAAAGTCATATTATGCTAGTGTATTATGTAGGCTTAGCAGTAATAAAGGGAGGGAAATTTTAATAATAAAGAACTGCAGCAGCCAAACCACCGCGTATCGAGCTAGTGCATTATGTGGACAACAAAAAAGGAGTTTCTAAAGAACTACTAATACCCTACTACCATACAATAAACCGATGTGAAACAACAAAATTTAAACTACATCAATAGAATCAATGTACTGTACTCAATATACTCTCCAATAAGCTGAGCTATTATCATTAAGTAACTGGATATACACTACACTATATAATGACTCCCATATAGTAAACTGATAAAAAAAACTAAAATATAAACTACATCAATAAAAGATTAAACTCAATATACTCTCCAATCAGCTGAGCTACGAACAATACGTCACTATACATTACAATTCTATGTCGAAAAAAGTGGCGGTTTATTTTTTCCTCCTTAAAGTTAGCACCACGGAAAGCGGGGAGCGTTCAAACGGACGAGTCCATCTATGCTCGGAACGGAGGAGGGGGGAGATGGAGAGAAACAACCAGGGTGCGCTACTCTGTCTTGTGCTGCGTTACAACTATGCTATAAACTAGACTACTATACATTACAATATTATACATTCCAATCTAAACGACACTGTATAATATCGTATACACACCCAAATATAAGCTCTAACATGCATTATATTGATATGCCTCCAACTAAACTTTTTTCTACATCACACGACTATACACCGTACTATACACTGCCATAGACAAACCCCACCATTGAATTATACAATGCGTTACTATACACTACCCTATACCTTAGACTATACATTGCAATATTAGACTATGTATTATTCTACAAACCCTACTGTATACCACACTGCTGTATATTCACTATACAATTACGATACTATATATCACCTTATACATTCTATTAAACATTACACTATTATACTATTTATTATTATACATTCTACTATACACCATACCATTGACCGTCGCGTGAAAGGTACTAAGAGGAAGCAAAGACATATGTCAGTAGGAGAATGGTAGCAGGAAACTTGCAGCGGAGCACGGACTCCGAATGGCATGCGGTCTGAAAGTCACCGTAAACGTGAACACAATCTATCAAGACCCGAAATGGTTTATCACGTCCTTCCAATGATTGCTGAGCCAAAATCCATCTTCTCGGTTGAAATTGTCTCTGTTTGTATATGTGGATGGCCTCATGAACGAATCTCTCATGGAAGTCGGATGGCTTGCAGAGAACCTCTGTTTTGGATAAGTCAATGTCATGTGAGCCCACTGAATTATAACAATGGTCTGCCATGGCTGGTCTGCTTTGTGTTCACGGATGCGGTCCGAGACATGTCGTTTGGTTTCCCCAATGTAACTGCTACCACAGAAGCAACTTAGTTTGTAGACGCCAGGGTACTGAATGTCTGGAATTATATATTTTACAGACGGGACCAGATCATGGATTTTATGTACTGTGTTGAATCGGACCTGAATCTTGTGTTTATTCAGGATTTTAGAGATATTTTTCGTGACCCCCGCAACGTAGGGTAAGGTGATGGTTTTGAATGGCTCCTCAAGAGGATCCTTCAAAGTTGAGCAGGAGGGATCTTATAGTCTACTCGATACTTGACTGGTATAGGCAGTGCAAAAACACAAGAAAGAGGAGCAGGCGTAATGATAAGTGAACCGTGCTTTTCGGAGGTGCGGGGGAATGACACGTGTGCTTGCGAAATTGTGTAGGCGTAAGGAATCTAGCAGCTGCATTCTGTCAAGGAGCACAAACCATCATCACGCAAACTCCCGTCGTCGTCTGCGCAGCAAGTTCAAGTTCAAGTTCATTTATTAGGTATAGCCCTGTGAGCCATTCAGCTCTTGAATCGGGTGCAACCGCAACAAACAAAAAACAAAAACATGAACAAAAAAACATCTTAAAGTGAATATGTGACTAAGTGCAAACAGAAAATCCAAGAAAAGACAGCAAAAATATTGCAGAAAAAACACCGTACACCAACGCTGCAGTCGGTGGCCACCGCATCGCGAGGTTTCAGGTGCGCTTCTGCGGCCGTCTGGAACGCTCTTCCTTCCAATATTCGGAAGCCACTGGAGCTATGCACTTTTAAATCATCTGGACTGAAAACTAATTTCTAAAGAACTGCTTTTGTGTTTAGTTTGTTGTCCTTCCCCCGCACCTCCAATGAGCACAGTTGGCTACGTACGGTGCGAAAGAAGTTCAACGTGCGACCAATATTATCCGTAATAAAGGTTTTGTTGGGTGAGATCGCGTAAATATAAATATGTCGTTCACCTGTCACTACCCGACAAGCCAATTAGTGAGGTTTGTCACGTAAACAAAACGTAACAACAACAACGAGCTGGAGTCTACCCAGCAGCACCTGATGCGGAATGCCGAACCAAGAAGACATTCGCTGCAGTAATTCCACTGCCATTGGCTCAGCAACCTCATGAAGACTCCCCACCAATGACATCTACCCCGTGCTGTGTCGATCCACTCTCCCCCCACCCTCCCTTTACACGAACCTACCCACCCAACCCTACCCACCCTCCCTTCCCTACCCACCCCCCACCTTCCCCTGCCCACCCCTCCTCTCCCCTACCCACCCCCCACCCTCCTACCCACCCCCCACCCTCCCCTACCCACCCCCCACCCTCCCCTACCCACCCCCCACCCTCCCCTCCCCACCCCCACCCTCCCCTACCCACCCCCACCCTCCCCTACCCACCCCCACCCTCACCGACCCACCCCCCCACCCTCCCCTCCCCACCCCCACCCTCCCCTACCCACCCCCACCCTCACCGACCCACCCCCCCACCCTCCCCTCCCCACCCCCACCCTCCCCTACCCACCCCCACCCTCACCGACCCACCCCCACCACCCTCCCCTACCCACCCTCCCCACGCTATAGGAACGCCCTGCGTGGTGGTGCTTGTAACAGGAAGGATGAACAACTTAAAGGCGTGTCCAGCCAAACAAATCCAGAGCAGATGAACGAGTTCATCCTGACGGACAGGGCCTCTCTCTCTGTCTCTCCGCTCAGTTGAAAGTTTTCGAGGACGCGACCCCAGGCAGCGATGGAGAAGGCGGTGGCAGCCAACGCCGAGTTCGCCATCAACGTCTTCAAGACGCTTGGTGCACGGGAGGCTGGTGGCAATGTCTTCTTCTCCCCGCTCAGCATTTCCGCGGCGTTGGCCATGGTGCTGCTCGGCGCCAAGGGACAAACGTCTGAGCAAATGTCCAAGGTAACAAACAACAACAGCAGCAGCAGCAAAAAAAATCACTCACGAATCCAACCCGGCAGCATGTGCCTTCGACTTGAACGTGGACTGTACACGGGGGGGGTCCAGATGTCTTGTGACCCGCCCCTCCCCTCCCAATTAATTCTCTAAAACGTGTCGTTTTAAAAGGAAGGTTTATTTAAAACATAAATGGATATGCAAAAGGAAAAAACTCAACATCAATCGGGGGTCACGAGACATCTGGACCACTTGTGCAGTTTATTTGCGAATCTTGAGTGCACAGCTGTGGACTGTCGAGTCGGTGCCACACTGACGAGATGTTCTCGACGGACACATTTCGAACGATTAAAATAGTACAGCACCATGCTGTGTGCTGTGACAGAAGGCACGTTGCCCAAAACGTCGTCTTGTTATCAATCAGGGCAGAGTATTTCCTGGTGTTATTTTGAGAAGTGACGCCACAATCGTTCAACGCAATTTCTCCCATTACTCTCTTAACGCGTATCCCAAGGGCGTTGCTGTCATTTGATGAAAACAAAAACGACAACATTTGTTTCGACGAAACATCTAAGACAAAAACTGGTTTTTTTATTACCCAGCAGAGGTGGGACAAAGTCATTGTTATGCAAGTCCAAGTCGAGTCTGAAGTCATCAAATTCATGACTCGAGTCTGACTCGAGTCCAAGTCACATGACTCGAGTCCACACCTCAGAGGTGGGACAAAGTCATTGTTATGCAAGTCCAAGTCGAGTCTGAAGTCATCAAATTCATGACTCGAGTCTGACTCGAGTCCAAGTCACATGACTCGAGTCCACACCTCTGTTACCCAGAACATGAATTGAGACGGTCTTTGTATACTTTGCCAATTCATGATGAGGCGTGGTCATTCTCAGTAAACGCATGCAGACGAAGATCAGCGATAAAACTTAATTTGGAGCTTTCGTGACTGCAGGAATTACTCTTTGGTTCTTTCGGTAAAGTCACGTATAAAGATCAAATAATAAATTAAATACTAGCATACGACGTTTCGATTGCAACACAAGCAATCATCATCAGGTATAAATGAAATAGAAACACAAATCTAGTATACTTAGAAATGTAATATAATACAACAGTCGGATAACATAACAGTCAACACCCTACCTGGTTGATTACGTTCTTCCTGAGAATGCTAAATTTGAGAGAGAGATAAAACACAGAACATATATGTATCTCAGTGATATCTGTCTTCTTTGGATTCTCAAAGAAGACGTGAAAATATTACATTTGTGCAAGTTTTTTTCCTGTGTTAAATGTGTCGCAGGTACTTTGCTATGAAGGAATGAGCGATGTTCACGAAGCTTTCAAGAGTCTGCTCGGCACTTTGAAATCTCCCGGAGCGGGCTGCGTCCTTCGCATTGCCAACCGTCTCTACGGCGAGAAGACCTTCGGCTTCCTCAAGGTGATCAGAAAGAGGAATGTTTAACCTAATGTAGAAACGTGTGATGTATGTACGTATGTTGCACTTCTTTCGCACTGTACGTAGCCAACCGTGATAATCGGAGTGTGCAGGGGAAGGACAACAAACTAAGCATAAAGCAGTTCTAAAGAAATGCATTTTCACTCTAGATTTTAAACTTAAACATTTGGCATGTTGTGTTATTGCTGAAAAATGTATCTTGTAGTAAATGTGTTGCCATTGCTCTCTGCTTTAGGAGTTTCTAGAAAGGACTGAGAAGTTTTATGAGGCTGAGTTGGCTGCTGTCGACTTCACCGGAGCATTTAACGATGTACGGAAGGAAATCAACTCCTGGGTCGAAGGAAACACTGAAGGTGAATATATTTTCTCGCGTCTCAGACTAAAGTATTCGTTTTTTCACATGTTGAGACAATACGGCAGGTGGCAGCATGGTACATGGGGTCTCAACTTGTCTTTGCAGACCTCTGAATATTATTCCTTTACACGTGGGTGGGTTTCTCCAGGTACAGTATCATGCCTGTCAACCCACACGGTTTAACCGTATTCTTGTACAGGGAAATAAAAAATAAAAGAAAATTGTTTCTCCCTTGGTGAAGGGACTTTGTAGGAGTAACGTTGAGATTTATAAGGAGCACGGGGTGACCAATAAGGTCTGAATTGGTCTGTAATGAGGTAGGCACTGATAAGTGGTTGACGTGTAATGATGTTATTAGGCGAACGTACACCATCTCCGGCTAGCACCCACTGCTTACCTCCAGGGGACAGTCGTGATATCCCTAGCCCCGGGGCAGGGGGGCTGTGGGGTGTCCTGGGATCCCCCGGGGCCCCTCCCGGGGGGAGGGGGCTGCGGGGTGTTTGGATCACCAGGCGGACCGGGCCTGCCCCTCATGATGGACCAGCCACTCGGACTCGCGCTAAGATGCGGGGGTTTTCATGATGGTTTTTTTGGACCATCGCACCCGCATGTCCGCCGCGGCGACCACTTACCTCTTCCATGTTGTATTCTTCGTCGCAGGTCGCGTGCGTTGTCCGAGGCTGGGGTGCGTTAGGTGGGGGCTGGTAATGGGGATATATATATTCTGTATGTAGTGTCCTTTTGTACAGGTGGGTTGGGTTAATTATTGGGGTGTTACTGTTGTTGTTCTTGTTGTTTTTAATGAGGCACACGCGGTTCTGGTTCATGTTAAACTATTTGTATTGAGGTTATTGTTGCAGCCGGGACGGCTGCGTGCTGTACGGGGGGGGGGGGGGGGGGATGTAGTGGTGTTATTAGGCGAACGTACACCATCTCCGGCTAGCACCCACTGCTTACCTGTAGGGGGCAGTTGTGATATCCCTAGCCCCGGGGCAGGGGCGGCTTGTGGGGTGTTTGGATCCCCCGTGGCCCCTCCCAACGGGTGGGGGCTGCGGGGTGTCCTGGGATCCCACAGAACCCCGCCCCTCGGTGGGGAGATGTATATAAGTATAACCCGTAAAAACAAAGTTTTTCACTCTAAATCTTTTATATGCGTGGCGGCTAGAGTCTTCTCGTCCTCTGGCTTGAGATGGCTGCCACCTATGGGTCAAATGATTGTCTGCAGTATTAAACAATTGGTAATTAAATATAATATTTTTGTCCTATAAAGTGTAAAATTTTGGAAAAACATTTTCACGAACATTAATTGTCACGCACAACGAGTCTGTGTGGAAAATGTCAACTCGATTGGATCATGGGAAGTGGGTTAAAAAACGACCGAAAGATTTACATGGTCGTAAGCAAGCAAGCAAGCGAACTTAATATAAAGGATTTAAAAAGGCAGGAGCCCGAGAGAGTTGGGCAGTGTGCGCGAGCCGAAGCCAGAAGAGCCAGTAGAAGACTGAAGACCGGCTAGCTCAACCCTGGGACTCCTCTGGGCTACCGTCCTTGTCGGGGCCGGGCAGAGAGAGCCAGTGGTGCGACCCTGGAAGCCTCGGAGCCCGACGTACTTGTCAGGGCCGGGTCCGTGTGGCTGAGGGTCGAGACCTGTACCTTGGCTGGGTCGGGTCGGCTAGCCTCCCTTAGGACCCACTTAGCCAGAGGACCCGAGACCCTAGTTCAAGAGTAGGGTGTGTTAGATTAAGTGTACCTCCCAGCTAGCATCAGGTGAAGGGGCTGTTACCCCTTCGACAAGTAGTCTATACACAGTGCGTTAAGTGTGTTATCCGTTAATAAATAAGCGTTGCCTCTACGAGTCGTCTGCACCGTCATAAGAACCCACTACACATGTATGCAGTATTCCATTTCTTCCCGCATATGATATACCTCAAGGGAAGTGTCCAAATACCCCCATTGCAAAACTGCACTGATGAAAAATCTTGATACTGAATGAGTTTTTACGTATTTCTATTTAACTGAATGCTACGTCTTTTTCTCTTCTAGGCAAAATAAAAGATCTTTTGGGCGAGGGCACTGTGGACTCCATGACCCGACTCGTGGTCGTGAATGCTGTTTACTTCAAAGGGAAGTGGGCCACACCATTTAATCTTCAAAATACCTCCCAGAAAACGTTTTACCTTAACAAGGTAACTGCAACCACGTTTGTCCGCACACATTGTGGGATTAAATTGTGCATGATGGGAAGGCGTGGGAAAAAGTCGCGGATAATGACAAACAATGGCAATAGGGCCTGAGGATAATCGGAAAATTCACAGACCCTACAGTTGACGCATATAATAGGAGTTGCGGGTAAGAGGAATTCTGTATGCGCAATGGGGAATAACCAGTTATGTGTTTTATTTTTATTGCACAGCGAGAGACAAAGCCAGTGCAGATGATGTTCCAAGAGAAAAAGTTTAAACATGGCTTTGTCCAGCACATGAATTTAAAAGTACTTGAGCTTCCATATGTGGGAAATGAACTGAGCATGATTATTCTGCTGCCAGCTGCCATCGAAGATGAAACTACCGGTTTGGAAAAGGTATTTCATGTTACACATTGGCACATTCCAACATGTCCAATAGAATATCCACATGTTGAAGACATTTTTATTCAAGTGACCTCATTATTATTCTGATAGCATCAGTTCTCAAGGTTTCCTTGAAAGCCTCCAATTGCATTTTATAAGAGTATACCAATGAACCTATATATTTATTGTATTAACTCACAACAATAACGTCTTGCCTGACATCACGGGTCGTACACGTCCTTAATTGCAGTCTATTATTTTTACTAGCACGGTTGGCTACGTACAATGCGAAAGAAGGTCAACATAATTACACCGTGCAGGTCCTTCTTCCACAAGTGGTAGGAGCAAGCTGCAGGGCTGCACATTCACATTCCAGTTCCTTGTGTAAGCACAGGAGTTGTTGCATTCTCCCTAATGCTTCACCTAAGCATTGTCTGCTCGGTCACTTGTGCTCTAATCGTCTCTTTCGTTGCTCTTGCAATTAATGGATCAGCTGGAGAGGGAGCTGAACCTTCTGAACCTTCAAACGTGGACATCGCCCATGGCGATGCACTCTGGGGACGTTTTGCTGCATCTCCCACGCTTCCGCCTGGAGCAAAGCTACACCCTCAATGAGCCACTCTCGACCCTCGGCATGGGAGACCTCTTCTCGCCGCTCACTGCCGACTTGTCGGGCATGGACGGAAAACGTGACCTGTTCGTTTCGCACGTGGCCCACCGCGCCTTTGTCGAAGTGAATGAAGAGGGGACAGAGGCGGCTGCCGCCACCGCATTAGTCATGATGGTGATGTGTGCCATGCCTTTCCAGCCACCCTTTCAATTTTGCGCCGATCACCCATTCATCTTCCTCATTCGTGACAACCGCAATGGAAGCGTTCTCTTTTTGGGTCGCTACACGTCCCCCTGAGGGTCCATCGAGGCTCCGATTTTCGTTGAGAAATGTGTACCGTCTGATTTGATTGTGCTACTTTAAGGGAAAAATATACTCACATACCAGTGGGAAGACACTCCGTCAGAGTAGGGGGGAAATATGCTGGGGATAATATACAATATGAGAACTCTTTTGCCAATAGCAAGATAAAGTAATAGGTTTTTAACCTTTTATCTGGCACCAAAAATGACACCTTTATACAAGGGATGATGTTTTTGAGTTGTGCGCCTTTTGGTGTCACCTGCTCCAACACCATGTGAGACTAGGCTATAAGAAAAGCCGTCTCGGGTGTGGACCAATCAATTTCAAGAACAGCGCATATCATTATCAGAGTTGTCTCTTCTTGTTTGCATTTTGACTGTCAGTGTTGTGGCTATTGCAAACATGATCCCTCGTATAAAGGTGTCAGTTTTGGTGCCAAATAAAGGGTAAAAACCTATTGCTGGATAATATACACTCCACTTGAAATGTGTTGTTGTGGCACTCTTGATTATTGTTCTTAAGTATTGTTAGCAAAACTTTGATTTTTGGCTGCTGGGTATTGTTGGGAGGGCTGCGTGATTAAAGTCTCTCGAATCTTAAAACTTGCAGTGCGTGTGAGATTGCTCTGGACACACCCGCAGTTATATCAACCAGCCACTTTACAATTATTTTTCCGGTTGTGATACGTGGCACATTTAAATTTGCAGTTACATCAAACAAAACAAGTTCATCTTTTTTGGAAGAATAAGTGTTGATCGTCTTGATTTTATTGACAAGACTTTGGCAATGATTTCAAGAGAACAGCAGCCATCAGATATTACCTCAGTTACCTTGGTAAATATTTGTTAATGTGAACCACTTAGTTTATGTTCATCATATACTCCACTGGACGCTGGTCGTGTATAGAGAGACAGAAAAATTGTTGGACTGAATTATACACCACAGGGCCCTGACCTAAAATAAAGAATGTTTCCAGGTGAACAGTCTTACATTGGTGTATGACATTACCCATGAGTAGATGTTAAATAACAGACAAACCCTTAAAAATTAAAAAATGTTACGCATACATTTATTTGTATTTAAAGTAATCAAAAGTTGTTGACAGTGCATCATGGGTAACGTTATTACAGTTTGGTATCTGATTGAAGAGAGACCCATTGCCTGCTGAGTAACTCAATTATGGGCCTCACTGATTATTTGAATAGGTCAAAAGAAGTTCTCAAAGGTTGAATAAAAGGAGGTTGAGATATTTAGAAAAGACAACAAAGTTACACTTCGCCCAATGGAAAGGGACTTCACTCACATCTCCAAGGCACACAAGACACTCGAGATAATTTTTTCATTTCCAGACCTTAATAAGCACACCTCACCACGATCTTATACGTGAAACTTTTTGATCACGCCCCAGTGATAATGCTACTCGTCTTGAATCCGGACGAGATCGAGAACCGCCTTTGGTCCCTGGACAGACGACTCCTGGAGGAAGATCCGTTCATCAGGGAACTTAAGGAGGATTTCTTTGAAAATAATATGGCCCCGACACCTCCTTCCCCCCAGATATTGTGGGATGCTCTAAAGCAGGGGCGGTTTCTTCATTAGGGCGATTGGGCGACGCACCACCAATGTCATTCAACCACAGAGTCACGCTAGCCGTCACTGTGCCTCTGGATATAGTCCAATCAGCGTCATGTCACGTTCTGTGGAGTACCGCCTCTTTTTGAGCGATTTCACTCCGGCTGAGAATCGCCCCGAGTGGCCCCATAGACTTACATGTTTTTTTTCAAACGGGGGCGCTGCAATGCATTCTCTATGGCTTCCGGGAGGGCTCGCCCTAACGTGCTTACGTCATCATACGTAAGCACGTTTCATCCAACAATATAATTTGTCGCCACCTAGTGGAATCTTTAATAAAATAAACTTGAGTGGATTGTATATTAATAGTGAGTATAGAAACAAACAAGATGTATTGTAAGAGTCACTTTATTTTTCATTAATATTAAAGAAGTGAAGTTGCCTTTACATGCTTAAGCTGTTAATTTATCCATTGCATGGGTGGACCTTATCCTTATCAATCATCCAGACATTTGCCCCCCCTGAGAGATTTTTCAGGAGCCGCCACTGCTCTTAAGGGATACTTCAGGGGACTTGATAGAGAAGGGTCCGCATACGGACGAAAATCCAGGAAAGACATCAGCAATTGGAGGAGACTGACCAGGCTTCACAGAAACTTTAAGACCTCACCTTCCGCAGAAATCTTAAAATAAGTGGACGGGATAAAACGAGCTAAATAAGCTATTAAATGACCGAACATCAAGGCTATTTATAAAAAAAAACAGGCTTCCATTCCACGAACCATCCCCAACCACCGCAAGAGTTCTTGCAAGCATGTTGAAAACCAGGAGACATCGTTCACGCAGAGTGTCCATTCGCAAGTGAAACGACCCCCCCCCCCCCCACTAACCAAAACCAAGGGTATCAATGAACAATGTATAGAATACTATGAATCTCTTTACAAATCCGTCTCGCCATCCATTGAAGCCATCAGCTCCATCATTGACAAAGTCCCTTTACCCGGCTTGAGTGTGAATCTTAGCAAAGAGCTGTGTGGGCCCATCACGCCCAGAGTTAAATTTGGCCATAGCTGCATCCCGGATGGATTTCCTGTAGATATTTACAAGAAGATGAACCCCCCCCCTCCCCCCCACTTTCAACAAAGCTTAAGGGCACCCTCGATGCCACGCTACAATCAGGACAACCTCCCCGACTCCATGAATGACGCTCGGATATCTGTCCTCTGCAAACCAGGGGCCCCTTAGACTCCACAAGGGACAGCTACCGGCAGATCTCCCTTTTAAATTCAGACTACAAAATCTTATCCATAATACAGGTGTTTCTTTTGGGTTAGATCGTGTAAAACTAAGTGTGTCGTTAAACCTGCCACTACCTGACACAGCCAACTAGTAAGGTTTGTCACGTAAACAGAACATGCCAATTCGTTACTAGTACAGCACACCAGTGTTTTGGAGAGCAAATCCACAACATTTACAAGCTGAGTACGACGTTTCACCAGTGATTACAACTAGCTTCATCAGGCGACAAGCCAGATTTGTGGAGAAATCCTCCTGCTTCGTTCCTTAAATAGAGGGGTAGATGTGATGACGTCACTTGTGAGTCCTTCACGTGCCGGGGGGGGATTAATGAATACAAATAAGAGAATTGGTTTTCCCCTTTTTTTACAACGGGTATCCATTGCCGGTTGGGTTATTCATATGGGAACTACCATATCAATATGGTAATGTATGTGTAAGAGATCCTCGCAACATTTTTCATGTATGATGGGAAGCGAGGTGAATGGAGGTGGAGCCAGCAGGGCAGTATGGGAAGGCCGGATCTGACGATTCGGAAGGAGAGGAGTCAGGGTCACGTGGGAGAGAGGATATCGAGGGGAGCCCGGAAGAGATCGGGGTCAGTTGTTTGAGTGAAGAAGCGGGACCACGTTGGGTGTCCGCCTGTATGTACTTTATACGACTACTAGCTGTACTACCCGGCTTCGCCCGGGATTTGTATCCACCACGGCCGGCCGCCTTTGTCTCCCCAGTGGCGATGTTAATACGCTACAACAGTTACTCGTTTGAGGCAGAGTCGACCTAGGGGAGGTTCAAATAATCGTCACCGGTGGTGGCCGTGAGCGGGAATGGAACTGGGTTCGCCGGGTTGGTAGCGCAGCGTAGCGTTAAGCACCACACCCACCGCTCCTCACACACCACACACGCACAGACAGACACACAGACACACACACAGACACACGCAGACACACACAGACAGAGACACACACACACACACAGACAGCACGCTAACCACTACACTACCGCTCCCCACACACCACACACGCACACACACAGACACACACACAGACACACACACAGACACACACACACAGACACAGGCAGCACGCTAAGCACTACACTAACGTTCCCCCTACACAACACACGCGCGCGCGTCCATAGGTACACATACACGCGCTTGCTGCAGACACACACGACTTTCAGGGTGCGTACGGCAGTAAACGACTGAAATAATAAAGCGGCAATGCTGCGCAAGGAACTCCTTAGACCTGCAACACATTTGCGTAATGCGAGCGTAAACACACAAACACATACAAACACATACACAATACACACACACATACATGCAGACACACAGACAGACACATAACACACATACATACACACACATACATACACAGAAACACATACACACACATACATAGACACACACATACATACACACAAACACATGCACACACGTACATACATACATACAGACACGCAGACATACACATAAAGACATAGAAAAAAACCCACATACATGCACACACACACAAACACATACACACACATACATACACACATACATACAGACACACAGACATACACATAAACACATACACACATACACATGACCCGGCTTCGCCCGGGACTTGGATCCACGATGCCCGGCCGCCTTTGTCTCCCCAGTGACGATGTTCACACACGACAGCAGTTACGCGTTTGAGGCTGAGTAGACCTAGGGGAGGGCCAGGTCCGTTTCAAATAATCGTCAGCGGTGGTGGGCGTGAGTTGGAATCGAACTGGGGTCGCTCAAACAGCTTAATGACTATTTGTACAAAGAACATATAAAGAATCGATTCTAATAACCAGGCTACAGTCCACATTACAGACTGGCAGTACACGCAGTCAGCTTCATAAGCAGGCTAGAGTGTACATGATAGAGTGGCAGTACGCTCACCGAGATTAATAAGCAGGCTACAGTCTACATGATAGACTGGCAGTACGCTGACCCAGCTTAATGACTATTTGTACAGTGAACATTTAAGTAATCGATTGTTGGCGCGTTGGGTTTAAAAGTAATATTAATTGCACACATTGTGGTGGGGGTGGAGTGAAGAGTAGGAAAAACTTTGATGAATTTACCTCAGAGTGGCGTGGTGGGTGTGGAGGCCTAGTAGCGTGCAGAGCCTGCGGCCTAGCCAAAATTGTCCAGCCGGCAGAGGCAGGGTACGGGTGGCGTGCCTTCCCCCCCCCCCCCCTCAGCGCTCCAACAATACTGTGTAATGGCTATTATTTAATTATTTACGGAGCCTATGAAAGTGGCGAAGGCGTGGCTAGCCGTTGGCAGGGGCAACCGCCGTCCAATGAAACTGCAGCCCTTGGCGAAGGCGTCGCTAGCCGTTGCCAGGTCCAATGAAAGCGGCGAAGGCGTCGCTAGCCGTTGCCAGGGGCAACCGCCGTCCAATGAAAGTGCGTATGGTCCGAAATCCACACACACACACACAGACGGACAGACAGACATCTACGATTTTATATATATATTTATACTGGTAGGAACCGCTGGTTACACCAACCCACAGGGGATTATTTTGCCCGTCGTGCATTCCATATATGGGAGGGGTGGGTGGGGCTGGGTGGGGAAGGCGGCCACGGCACTCAATCTCGACATTTAAGCCGCCAATTCGTTGAGCCATCATTCGAGGCAAGGTCACTTCCGAATTGTATACAGCTCAGTGGGCTCTGCCCGGTCAAAATAAAACATTTAGTTGAGCACTGTACACATTTCTGCACAGGGCACTGTACACACGTGTGCTGTATCAACTACTGACCTTGGGAGCTGCTGCTATACGAGGTGCGGTTCGTATTTTTAAAAAAAACCACACCATTCATCCTGGGTCGATAAAATAGGTACCGGTTTAAGGGGAAGCCAACGGCGCTTGTGTGTGTACACCTATGTTAACTATGCTCTGTGCGTGTTTGTACACCTATGTTAACCACACTGTGTGTGTACACCTGTTAACCACACTGTGTGTGTACACCTATGTTAACCACACTGTGTGTGTACACCTATGTTAACCACACTGTGTGTGTACACCTATGTTAACCACACTGTGTGTGTGTACACCTATGTTAACCAAATGCCAACGTTGGCTCAACGTTGCATGTGTACTGAGTTTGAATGAAAATGTTGTTTTCTCGATGGAGTAATTTCTGCCCTTTTATATTTTTCAACGGTTTTACTTCACTTGATTCCTCTGTCGTGGTCAAATCTTGTAATGCAAATTTACTCTACAGTAGAACCTCGGAGATCGAACGCCCCAGAACTCGAACAATTCGGTGATCGAACAAAATGTTCGAACATTTTTTGCCCCAGACATCGAACAAAAAATTCGGAGGTCGAACAACTGGAAAGAACCTGTTTGGGCCGAGATGCGTAGCCAGGGCGACCGAGACAAAGGCGATTGACCCAGTTTACGCATAGCTCTCGCCCAGTGCAGACCCGCAAAACATCGTTCTGTTAACTTTTGTAGAAAATCATCCAGATAAGGCAGGAGCCAGCAGAGCAGGCGATTTTTTATAATGATAATGCATTGAGTCGTTTCAGAAACATCTTAAAGCTGAGGCAGAAACAATCCTCTCTTGACCAGTTTTTAGTACAAAGGCCCTCAAGTGAATCAGTGCTAGAAAAAAGGCATAGAAAGAACCCCAGAAGGGCAGTTACCCAAAGTTTTTATGGAGGGGAACTCCCCTTCCAAGCAACACTGACACCTCCTCCTCCCCTCGTCACCACCTTTCACTCAAGCCATCCACTTTCCTTACTACAGGTAAAGTGAAGTTCAATGTTCATTTATTTCATTACTGATAGGAACCTCCTGGTTACACCAGCCCACAGGGGATTATTGTGTCCGTCGTGCAGGGAGGGGCTGGGTGGGGAGGGGAGGGTGGGGAGGGGTTGGGTGGGGAGGGTGGGGCTGGGTGGGGAGGGGAGGGTGGGGAGGGGCTGGGTGGGGAGGGTGGGAGGGGTGGGGCTGGGTGGGGAGGGGCGGGTCACCCCGTGGTGCCCTTATAAAACTCAACGTTTAACCTACTCACGCCGGCTTGTGCCCGCCCTCACAGTCGGACATATGTGCAGAATACACCACGCCGCCGTTGACCCTGGCCATGGACCGAGCAACCCAACGTTCCTACCAGCTCCCTCCGCAGAAATGTGTTATTACTGGAAAGTTCTAGAATGTTCTAGAAGTTACTCCAAGTTTACTCAGCACTGAATCTATCTAGAATATTCTAGAAATAACACTTAATACCCAGGAACAACAACAAACATGTGTTACACAGTGTATATAATCAACGTACATTATGCGTGCACATTATGCATACTCATTGTTCTTGTATCGCCTAGCAGTACATGTTATTGTCTGCGTAGAGGTGATCCCCAATGATGTATGGGTGACCCTTTATAGGCATGCATTTAAACAATGTATAACAGACACTCGTCGTTCTCACTGGCTGTAAGCATCTTAAAATTCAATCCCAATGTAGCAGGGCCCTCCTAAAAAAGGGTGCTTATGACTCAGTCTGGCTTGCTGAAAAACAAAAAAAAACGTAGCAATTTTCTTTTCAGTAGGGCTTTTGTGGTTCAAGGGCGTTTCCAGCCACTGCGACGCAGAGCGGTCGAGCGAGTTCGCCTCTTCTCTCCCTGCACCAGAGCAGCAAACTCGGGCGAGGGCGCGACCCCAGGCAGCGATGGAGAATGTGGTGGCAGCCAACACCGAGTTCGCCATCGACGTCTTCAAGACGCTGGGTGCAAGGGAGGCCGGCGGCAATGTCTTCTTCTCCCCGCTCAGCATCTCCGCGGCGCTGTCCATGGTGCTGCTCGGCGCCAGGGGACAAACGTCTGAGCAAATGTCCAAGGTAACAACAACATACAAACAGACAAACAAGAACAGCAGCAAAAAATATCCACGTCGCTTGCAACGGCGCGCTCACCCCCGGGCAACGTGATACAAGAAACCCGCTCGCATGCGGCATCGGACGCCGTGGGTTAGTCGGCGTTTTGATTCACTCCGCGTCTGTACTTCGTCTCTTCTGTGTTGAGTTCTGTCGAGCGCAAGGTGGTCCAAGATGTCTCGTGACACCCATTCATCGTTGCTCTAAAACGTAATGTTTTAGCGTGCATACCAATCGGGGTGTGGAATGTTTAACGTGAACAATGTAACTTTTTAAAGTGTCATTGTTAGATATTTCACAGCAATACTTTGGAGGATCTTTCGCGGTTTGTTTTCTGGTGTGTGGTCTTTCGTGAGCCCATGCGTCCACGACAAGACGTTCTTCCATAGCATTTGAACTCGCAACAGGCATCTCAAATAAGTGAAGGTTAATTTTAAACAGAAATGAATAAACAAAGGGGGGGAAATGTTAGTAGTCAATTAAGTACATAGCACATATATAAACACACAAACAGTACTTGTGGGGCTGTCGTACTTTATCGGGTCATTTCACTACAGTACTTCCTTGTGTTGTACAGGATAAGCCTCGAGGCAATGGTGGCGTGTTCACGTGTTTAAGTGGGGTGTCATGCCGAGAATCGCTGCGTGCAAATTGTGTCCGTGTCTTGTAATCCGGCGCATGGACACGTATCACAGGTGAGCGAGGCCACTGTCGTGAAGATTTTGAAGAAGATGCATTTTTTATTTATTTTGGAGGAAAAGGGCCAATTGCACTGAGGGGAAACGCCCATCGTCTCGTCAGGGTGGGGGGGGGGGGTGACCGACAACACTCACTAACTCATGCAGATTGAGCAACAATTTACCTTCAGTATGAAATGGTAAGAATTAGGGTTCTACCCTTTCTGGAATGAAAACAGGTGTTAAGATATTCTTGCTTCTTTCGGTAAAGTCACGTAGAAGGGAAATAATAAAATAATATACATTTAAAACAATAACAATTCTCACGACGATGTTTTATATTTATTTAATTTTATTATTTCCCTTCTACGTGACTTTGCCGAAAGAACCAAGAATATGAATCCCTGCAGTCACGAAAGCTTTAAATCAGGTGTTAAGATGTTCAAACACCAAAGAGAAACCTTTTTGCAAGGAATCGTGTCTGCATTTACCACACACGGTACTTATGGTGAACATGCGATCAAAGATGCTCTGGTAATGTGTGCATTTGCTTTGAAACTGATTGTCCTACACCAGAGACAGCCTTCATTATGGCCTAGTCTCACCAGGGTCAGACCAGAGAACGCCCAAAGGCGAACAGCATTGTCTTGGAAACAATCAGTCTTGGAAACAATCAGTTTCCAAGACAATGCATATATAATTTTAGACTTCAAACTTTCGTGACTGCAGGGATTCATATTCCTGGTTATTTTGGTAGTCAGGTAAATAGAAAACAAAAAAGAAATAGATGGAAATGTAATAAAAAATAATAAGATAACATAAAAATATTTAAAAAATAAATAAAAAGTTTCTACCCTGGATACCCCCCCCCCCCCGTTAAAATAGGTGGCAGTGGTTGCACAAATGCGGATATAACACAGCCATTGCCAATAATACAACTAAGACAATGCGAATGGAATGAAAATTGCATCCTTGAATCATGTCCCCGATTCACGACAATACATAGCAAATCGCTTGTGGTGTGAATCATCATGTGCCCACCCATCGGAATGCCCATCAGGGCTACACATAGCCTTGGCTCTGGTCGCTGCGAGCCATCCCGTCATGTGTGAGTCATCCCGTCATGTGAGTCATCCCATCATGTGTGAGTCATCTTGTCATGTGTGAGTCATCCGGCGGAGGTCCAAGCCACGACTGCAAGGATACCGGCTTCACCAAGGATGTTTTGATTCCTCAAAGAAAGTGTGTCAACGTATTCGTGCCTGTGTCCATGTGCTTTGCTTGTAGGCGCTTTGCTTTGAAGGAGTGAGCGATGTTCACGAAGCTTTCAAGAGTCTGCTCGGCACTTTGAAATCTCCCGGGGCGGGCTGCGTCCTGCGTGTTGCCAACCGTCTCTACGGCGAGAAGTCCTTCAGCTTCCTCAAGGTGATTAAAGAGAGAGACATTTTTTACCTAATGGGCCGTTCAAAAATGACATCACGCACCTGGGGGCGGGGGGGGTCAGACATTTGTGACGATGTGCGACGGGGGGGGGGGTTTGAGAAATGTGTCGTCAAATCAAAATACACAACTTTAAATAAATATAGACAACACGTTCTACTTAATTAAATAGATTTTTAAATAAATGTTATCTCCTACAACATCAGAGTGCAGCGCCACATTAAATACGCACTACAATGACAAAAGTTTAAAGCGATTTGAAGCATGTTTTATTTTTTGGGGGGGGGGGGGCAGAGCTTTGTGATGTCATATTTTAGGGGGGGGGGGTCTGACTTTGTGACGCCGTGTGACGAAGGGGAGGGGGTCAAAAATCGTCCAAAATCGCGTGACGTCATTTATGGACGGCCCCTAATATAAAAACGTGATGTATGTACGTACATACATTGAACTTCTTTCGCACCGTACGTAGCCAACCGAAAGTATTTTATGAACAAGACGATTCAAGGTACACAACACAGAGAGGATATGAAAGGAGGCTGACACCAGCACATCCGCACATTACAGACTACAGTGCAATGGAGACCCGTCTAAACCGCACGTTGCAATAAACTCTCCAACCCCCTGGTGTCTTCCTGAGATTTGATACCCACGTCGGCGAAGGGGTAAAAGGGGAAAGGGTGGGGAGGGGCCTAAATGCCCGAATCAATGCTCTCAAGAATCAGTGCCCACTAAGCTTCCTCCCTGCCCATAGTTTTGCACTTAGATGCTGGAGAGCGTGCTCTTTCCAGTTGGCTATAAATGATGCGTTTGATGTTTTCTTTTTTACAAATGCATCTTTGATGTAAAAAAAAACCTCCCCGTGTCAATGTCTCTGTCTCTCGCTCTCCCCTTTAGGGATTTCTGCAAGCGACTCAGAAGTTTTATGACGCCAAGTTGGCTGCCGTGGACTTCACGAAATCATTTGAGGGTGTGCGGAAGAAAATCAACGCCTGGGTGGAAGAAAAGACTGAAGGTGAAGGGCACATTCGCTCCTCTTTTCGAAGGCTCGTGGAGGGGAAGCTGCCTGCAATACAGCACTTTGGAGACTATTCAAGCGGTGGCAGGAGAGTAAATGGGTTGTAAACTTGTTTTTGCACCCCTTAAGTACTGCAATAGTGTGTGCATGTTGAACTTCTTTCCTGCCGTACGTAGCCAACTCGTGCTAATCGAATGTGCAGGCAGGGGGGGGGACAACAAACTTAACACAAGAAGCAGTTTTCGTGACTGCAGGGATCCATTCTCTTTGGTTCTTTCGGTAAAGTCACGTAGATATAAAACAAAATAAATAAAATCACGACGTTTCGGGTGCAACACAAGCGTCCGTCATCAGCAGTTGTTTCGTGCTGTGGTTGTCCCACCTGATGACGGATGCTTGTGTTGCGCCAGAAACGTCGAGATTTTATTTATTTTGTTTTATATCTACGTGACTTTTACCGAAAGAACCAAAGAGTACAACAAGCAGTTTTAAAGAAAGTGCATAGCTCCAGTGGCTTCCTAATAAGGAAGAGCGTTCCAACCAGCCGCAGAAGGGCGTCTGAAAGCGCGCAATGCGGTGGCCGTCTTTGTCCGATGGCCCAGCCAAATGCCGCTTGCGAGGATGACCGGAGTGACACGTGATGGTTCGTGCTCCTTGACGAGATCAGCGAGGTGTTGGGGTTAATTTGTGGCTAGCGCTTTTGTGTGGAACGAGTGCAACCTTATAATGCATGCGTTAGGCAAACGAATGGCAATTCAGCTCGGCGAGCTTATGCTTCTAAAATGGAAGTGTTCAAATACCCCAATGTAGAAGCATACTGAAATATTGTTTAGAGTCTTAAATTTGTCTATATAAATGGATGACTTTTGTGTTAGTTTAAAGTTGTCACTTAAGTGTTATGTTTAACTCAATAGTGCACGCGTTTCCATCCTAGGGAAAATCAAGGATCTTCTGGAAGAGGGAACTTTGGATGTCATGACTCGACTCGTGATTGTGAACGCTGTTTACTTCAAAGGGAAATGGACCAAAAAGTTTAACTCTCAAAATACCACTCAGTGCAAATTTCATCTCAACCAGGTAACTGTAAACACGTTGTTTTTGTTTGTACCCGCGATGAGATTGTCGTCAAATTTAATGTGGATTGTTTTTGTTAATATGTTTTTTATATGTAGCTGGGTTGTAATGTTTAAGTAATGTGAATACTGTATAATGTATGGACACTATCAATAAGTTTTCGATTTAATGTACTGTACATGTTTGTATGACAAATGCACTAGACTGAAAAGAGAAATTTAGGCAAATGATCTTATCTTCGACTTGCCCACCAATGAAATAATATTGAAATAGACAAAGCAATAATATATTGGTTATCTATTTATGCATAACGGATTTGTGCACTGAAAAGTAACCGTGTTAAATTGCATTGCCTGTCTGACTTCAGATACAAATATTGGCCGTGTATTAAACATTTTTACTTCATTTTATGATGTAACACTGATGTACCGCTTGCAGACATGGCTGTTTATTGATCTGATGAACTTGTAAATACTGACGTGCAGTACGAACTTTAAATGTACATTCCCAAGAAGACTTGGCCTTCTTTATTGGTTACAATGGTGGGACCATATATGCACAATGGGGAAATAACCAGTGATGTTATACTTTTCTTACACAGCAAGAGACAAAGCAAGTGCAGATGATGTCCCAAAAGAACACGTTTCAACATGGCTTTGTCCAGAACATGAATTTAAATGTTCTGGAGCTTCCATATGTGGGAAATGCGCTGAGCATGATCATTCTGCTGCCAGCTGCCATCGAGGATGAAACTAACGGTTTGGAAAAGGTAATTTCCTTCACAAATGCACACACTGCATCGTTTCAATTTCAAAATACACTGCGGTTTAAGTGCACTTAGGAATTATGCTAATATCGTCAGTTCTAACCCCCGTTAATGCTTTGAAGCTATCCAAGTGTACATTTTTACGTGAGCTTACATTTGAATAATTATTGTATTATGATGGGACGAGAGACAACAGCTGTGATGCTTCCATGGTTTAATGGGTTGGCGCACTGGAGTTGCAATCAAGAGGTCACGGGTTCGATCTCCCAGCGCGGAAGACATAGAGTAGAGAGAGAGGAGGGGTACAGAGAGAGGGGGTAGATAGAGAGAGAGGGAAGGAGTAAGAAGAAGGAGGAGAGCAGAGCTTGAAGTCTTTTGTGAAATGTTTCATTTTAAAATGGGGGGGGGGGGGGGGGGAGCACATAAAGCAAAGCATTGAAACATAACCCGAAATGATGAACGAAGCAAAGTGCCGACTACACCGAGCATCTTCTTGTTTGTTCTTATCGTAAAAAAAAGAGGCGAGTTTCTCAAATCCCCCAGCCTCTCTCTCTCTGCAACCAGCGGTCGCGTGCTTGCTGCTTGTTGCCGAGTCGCGCGGTTCGTGTCCTGGCATTCCGCCCCGATTATTACTGTGCGTGCAATTAATCATACACAGGCGCCCCGTTTGCTTCGCAGTGGGAGGTCAGAGATAGTATGTTGTCCTTCCCCCCCCCCCGCCCGCCGAGCACCTCCGATGCGCATCACGGTTGGCGACGTACGGTGAAAAAGAAGTTCAACATACATGCATATGCATGTGACGTCATTTGAAAAGAGCAGGCCGTTGTGGTTTGGCGTAGCGGTTCAAAAAAAATGCCCTCCAATTACACAATTAGGATTTACACGGAGCAACTATCGCCTCCTTCTGTCAGATAAATTCCCCACTTGCAGGCTCGTGCTAAGCCACCTTGTGTCACACCAGGGGGGGGGTGGTCCCCCTTTTGACCAAAAAATAAAGCTGTGCTCCGAGACGTTGCTTTACGTTAATGGGCGCTGTATAAAAAGCAGGCTTATTATGAGAAATGGGGTGAAGGTGTGGGTACATGCAACGTCCCTCGAGATATCTGGCCAGTATGGAAGAGCAGGTTAAAATATCCTCCAGATGGGTTCTACAGAGGTCCCTGTGGCGATGGCCGTTCTGCCAGCAGTAACGTGAGCAAGCAATTGCAGGAATGCACCTTTGCATCTCGGTTCGGTGGGAGTTTTTACAGTCGCCGTTTGCCCTCGCCGTAAATGTTCACCGAGCATTGCCTACTCGGCCACTTTTCGTTTCAACCGCGTCTCTTTCGTTGTTCTCGCAATGAACGGATCAGCTGGAGAGGGAGCTGAACATTCAGAACCTTCAAGCGTGGACATCGCCCACGACGATGCACTCTGGGGACGTTTTGCTGCACCTCCCACGCTTCCGCCTGGAGCAAAGCTACACCCTCAATAAGCCACTCTCGATCCTCGGTATGGGAGACCTCTTCTCGCCGCTCACTGCCGACTTGTCGGGCATGGACGGAAACCGTGACCTGTTCGTTTCGCACGTGGCCCATCGCGCCTTTGTCGAAGTGAATGAAGAAGGGACGGAGGCGGCTGCCGCCACAGCGGTCACCATGAAACTGAGGTGTGCCATGCCCACGCAGCCACCCTTTAAATTTTGCGCCGATCACCCATTCGTCTTCCTCATTCGAGACAACCGCAACGGTAGCGTTCTCTTCTTGGGTCGCTACACGTCTCCCTGATGCACGCCGAGGCTCCGATTCTATACAGTAGAAACCCCTGCTCTTAACGACGGTAATTGATTCCACGGAACCGGTCGTCTAGTGATTTGGTCGTTAGGCGAGTGTAGAACTATACGTTAAATGATGGAAATTGTTCCGAACAGCATCGAATGTAAACGATGCTCCCACGCTCATGAATGGATGTCACTGATTGGCCGAGGCCTGGTAACTTTACACTACACTATACACTACTATACTATACACTATACATTGGGCTCTATGGAGGCCCATCGTTAAGCAATTAGTCGTTAACAGGGGTGGTCGATAAGAGGGGTTCTACTGTATATATTTCAAGGTCTATTGGCACGTTAAAATGCGTTAATGGTATTGGGACAGTTTTGGTTTATGGGACACGTTGGTTTTATAAGGTGGGTTTCACTGACTTAATCTGCAACAAAAATCTACGCCACCCGGCTGAATGATATACACAGAGCGTAATATCACGTTGCAGTGTCGTAAAGTGGAAATATTTCAATTGATTTCTGGAATTATGTGTTGATAGTAATATTTTTTATTATTGATTATCAAATCGATGCACATCAGCAATCGGCTTTCAATCAACAACAAAAAATCGCCTAAACTCTTTGTAATCAAAAAAAGTTTTGCTGGCTGGCTTTTTGCCTGGATACCCGGCTCAAGTGGACATGTGTGACTGTAATGTAACGACGCACATCTGCGTGATTACGTCACCTATATGTGACATTGTGGTGAACGAATAGACAATCACGTACAAAATGAGGGAGGGATCAATGGACAATCACATCTAAAGAACGTATAATTTTTCTCGTTGAAACAAAAATAAAACACGAAATCATTGCAAACGGATGTATCAGACAACATTACAAGTAATAGTTGACTCGAGTGCTCTTTAAATATTATCGACGTGAAGCACCTGGGTCACAATCGTAATACAAATTTCAAGCAGCAATTGTCCCGCAAGAGCCAGCAATAGCTATAGGGTATCTACAACGCCTAATTATTTTTTTTAATAAACAATGGGGAATGGTCTTCTTGGTTCTTTCGGTAAAGTCACGTAGAAGGGAAGTAATAAAATAATAAAAATTAAGCATAATAAAATCATTCTCACGACGTTTCGGCCACAACGCAAGCAGCCGTCCTCAAGTGACGACCAGGTCTGTCGGGGAGACAGCGTCTGAATGAAACACCACCACGCTTGGAGCGTATATTTAAGCTGGGTTGGAAGGGGGGAAGGGCGCCTTAACAAAATAATTTGCATATCAAGAGGAATTTAGCATATTTATGGGAAATGCAGGTATGTGATTAGTACTACTTGTGAAATGCTTAGGAGGTTTGGCGGGGGGTTTCAAAGTCATATCATGCCCGTGCATTATGCAGGATTAGCAGCATCAAAGGGAGGGGATAGGGGTAGCATTAATAAAGGGAATGAATGTTAATAGTATGTAGCTGCAGTAACTAAACAACCACGTAAAAAAACTAAAGTATAAACTACATAGTATCATCAGTATACATAAATATACTCTCCAATAAGCTGAGCTACTAACAGTAAGTAATACATTACAATTCTATGTCACAAAAACTATAATATGCTTCCAGCTAAACTGTTTTCCCTTACATCACACGGGTCTACCCCGTACTATATGCTGCCATAGACAAACCCAACATTAAATTATATAATGTATTACTATACACCACCCTATACCTTAGAATAATAGTGTAATATTACACTATGTATTATTCTATCCACCCTACTTTACCGAAAGAACCAAGAAGATGAATCCCTGCAGTCACAAAAGCTTTAAATCGAAAAAAAAATGGGGAATGGCTCAGCTACTCTCAAACAGTGCAGCTATGAATGTTAAAAGATAAGAAACGAGATCAAATGTAACTTCTAACAGCCATGGCAAACATGGCACGCCGCTTGTCTTAACAGTGCTAAAATTACTATTTCTTGCTGGCCTTAAAAGATGCCTTCCAACACGTTCCTTCGGAGTGGGCAGGTAGGAACTTGGTTGGACGGCGCATTCGTGCGATCCGTGTCACGCGGCGCAAGCTGCGTGGGGCGGCGCGTCACGTGGTGCTGAGCCCGCCCGAAGCGCTCTGTGAAATACAAATCGAGGGCGTGGCTATGCACGACAGACAGACAAATAATCCCTGGTGGGCAGTGTGGAACTGTTGTTCCTACCTGTATTATTGACGCTTGCAGGTGGTTATGCCTAATTTTTGTGGTGTTATTTGAATGATTATTGCATGTGGTTTTAACACAAGTTTATACATTATGAATGTATAAAGTTTATTATCAGCCCGAGTTGAACTGTTGTCGCGTGTTCATTCTTGTCGGGGTTTTTTGGTGAAAATATTTCTTACGTCTGCATCGCTCGTGATGGGGATAATTGCAAAGCTTGCTTCAACAATTTTCCTCCATGGCTCTTGTGTGAATTGTCTTCAAATTGCACCCACCATACCACTGGCTCCCTTCCCTCCGTTGTCCACAACGGCACCCCTAAAAAAACCTTTTTATTGCAACATACCAATCAACAACACTGCCTTAAAATAAATAGCCCTTCTCATAACACAGTGTGCATAATAGTTGCAGAATGCACGTTACACCATTTAGCCTACTGAGTGTATGTATTACTTTACATTGTATGATGACCAGTTGTTTTTAAATAGCATATGCATAGTTTACCTAATAGCTACAGATCATATTGGATACCTGGTGAGGGTTTGGTCCATCTTGGACAAAAAGTGTTGTTTTTGTAGTCCACACAGCCACTCTCGCAAGCAACGGCCACCTCCGACACAAACTCATGAGTCCAAGTGAGGCAGAGATTTCGTCCCGTCCCCCCCCCCCAACAGTATTAAATAAACCTCCCAGCACCAAATAACCGTAACCTGAAATGTGTTGATCAAACAACGGCTGCTCATCGACAAAGCCCGGCGTGTCTCGGTCAAATTGTATCAGACCGGACGTCGCCCGAAGCGGACGTCACCGGCACCAACGCACCCTTATCGAAGCATTTAACATTTGGGTTACAAAAACCACCCTGACGTCCTTGAAGAATCGTGAGGCCCCCTCATTCACCCTCTGGCATAACTCCCTATTCTCTCTCCTTATTCTCTCACCCTATTCTCTCTCCATATTCGCCGGATCAGCTTCAGAACACCTGAGTCTGAAACTGAGGAATAGGGAAGGGGCGTTCACCCAGATCTGGGGCCCCCTCGTGAATGCCACTCCAGTTTACTCGACTCCACTTGACATGAGACGGACCCCCCCCCCACACCTATTTCCCTCTTCCCTCCCCAAAGAGAAGGGATTTGACGCAGCACGTCCCACGTAATGCTACGTTGCTACGCGTCCACGTTGGATGTCTGTCCGAGCCACCTGTCCCGCTATGGATCAATAAAACAGACTTTACAACAAAACAAGACGTCGGGAGGTTTAAGTTCAGAAGTCCCTCCAACCTCAGTTCCACTTTTGAGTCCGGTCCCGAAGAGGTCTATGAGCCTGGCACGGCGAAGAGCCAGTGGACTGCTTTTTGCGTTTAGTTTGTAGTCTTACCGCACCACCGATTAGCACGGTTGGCTACGTACGGTGCGACAAAAGTTCAACACATGCAAAGGCGGACCCCCATGAGTCGCCGGATGTCTTTGAGCTCCGAAACTTCAAAGAGACGCTGCAGGGTGTCTCACGGGACTCTCTCTTTGCCGGTTCGCTATCGGCCAGTCGCGTCGCCTCCTGCAAGTCGAGCGGTCGTAGTTCGATAGCCACCTCTGCTGCTTCTCTCAACAACGAGGTCTCTCTCGGTTGACATGGAATATGGCGGGCCAGGGGGGTCAAGGCGACTGCCCTGTCACACTCGGCGGCGTCCCTCGGCAAGCCCACGTCGCACAACGTACACAAAGGTGGTGATGGTGGTGTCAAAATGTGGCTTTGGGGCGGTCCATAAATGACGTCACGCACCTGGGGGGGGGGCAGACATTTGGGACGATGTGTGACGACGGGGGGGGGGGTTGAGAAATGTGACTTCACGTAAAAATGCGCAACTTTAAATATAGACAACACGTTCTACTTAATTAAATACTTTTAAATAAAAATGTTTATCTTACAACATCAGAGTGCAGCGCCTCATTAAATACGCACTACAATGACAATAGTTTAAATCGATTTGAAGCATGTTTATTTGTTTTGGGGGGGGGGGGAGGGCAGAGCTTTGTGACGTCATATTTGAGAAGGGTCTGACTTTGTGACGCTGTTTGACGAGTGGGGGGAGGGGGGGTCAAAAATCGCGTGACGTCATTTATGGACGGCCCCTTTACTGGCTGCCCAGGAAGAGCTTGGGCATCGTGGCAATCGCAGTGAAGATAATCGATCCACCCGTTACCTAGAGAGCGGTGTTCTTCACACATTTTCAGGGCGGGGGTTGGGGTGGCGGGGCCACTTTCGCCGATGAGACGTCACCAGTGTGAGGGCCGCCACACATTATTTTAAACCATTGTTGGGTTTGACAGCAGCACGATGATGATGGGGGGGGGGGGGGTGTCACGTGTTGTGTATTTATCGGGGGGCTGCACGGTAGGAGCCGCCGGTAACCCGCGGGCCTTGCGATGAAGAGCACCGCTGGAGACAAAGTGGAAACTCTTCAAGACTCTTAGTTCTTTCGGTGAAGTCACGTAGGTAAAAAATGAAATAAAAATTAATAAAAATAAAATAATAAAAATCACGACGTTTCGGAGGCAACACAAGTCTCCGTCATCAGGTGGCTGTGACGGTCCAACCTGATGACGGAGACTTGTGTTGCCTCCGAAAAGTCGTGATTTTTATAATTTTATTTTTATGAATTTTTATTTCATTTTTTACCTACGTGACTTTACCAAAAGAACTAAGAGTATGAATGCTTGCAGTCACGAAAGCTTCAAATCTAGAACTCTTCAAGAGGTGAAGCACTGTTTAACACGGAGGCGGCTTTCGCGACCAATATCCATAAGAGGTGTGTTGGGTAGATCGCGTAAATATAAATGTTGTTACACCTGCTAGACAATTAGTAAGGTTTCTCACGTAAACAGAACATGCCAATTCGTCACTAGTTCAGCACACCTGTGTTTGGAGAGTAAACCCACAACATTTAAAATCCGAGTACGTTTCACCGTTAATTACAACCAGCTTCATCAGGCGACAGCCAGAGTTGTGGAGAAATGTACTTCCCGTTTCGTTCTTAAAGAGGGATAAATGTGATGTCACTTGTGAGCCAATCAGATGCGAAGCCCAGGGGGGGTTTATTAATGCATCAATATAAATTACAATGGATATATATTATTTGTTAGGTTACTCAGTTAATCAACATACATAATGTATGTAAACCATGGATGCATATTATGCATATGCATTATGTATGTAAATTCTGCCGTTTTTGGCTGCAAAAATCGCAAATTATTGGCTGTTTCAGCACGTTTTGTTGACGTGAAACCCCCTTACGAATTGGCCGTGTCGTGTGGTGGCGGGTTTAACGACACCTTTATATTTACGCGACCTAAACCGAAATGGGCGTTTATGTTCTTCCACTATTCCGAGTGTCACTCTCGCTTAACCGCTGGGGGGCCATGCCCCTCTTTTTCGGTCCCTGTCCCCTAATCAGACCAACTTATTTCAAGCTCTGTATAAAAGGGGACCAGCCTGGCCTCGAACTCCTTCTCTTTTCCCTTAAGCTTATGACTCAGGCGCTCCATGCCCGCATGCGCTAGGAGTTGTACTATGCCACTGTTGCCATGAAGGGGGCTCACGATCCTTCCAGTGGTCCAGTAAGGTCTCCCTGGCTATGATGATGTTAAAGGTCTAGAGCAGGGCATGTATCGTTACCGTGGCAGGTTTCAGACGCCACAGGGCGGGGAGAGATCTGTGCCACGCGAGTCATTAACAAAGCACGTGATCGTATGGTAAAGTTTCGCAACGTCTGGGCAGAGCCAGAAGGCGGAGGGGATATGTACTATGCCCCAGAGGGGATGACAAAAAGTTTTAAAGCATGTTGCACAAACACCCCACATTTGAAACGAATACACACTTCACCGACAATCCGCATAGTAAATACATCAACATACTATATTATAATAAGGGTTTAATGAAATATTCAGTCAATTAACTCTCAAAACATTTAAATATTGCAAATATTCCAAGGCTGCATACACTTGAAGCACACTTTGAGAATGATATCAAAGGACAATTACTTCGAAACGGCATTGTGTACAGAGAATATGCAAATGCATGTAAAACAATATTTAGAAAGTTAAGATTCTCGATGTATTAAGGTCACTGCAATGCATGAGATGTGCAAGTGGTTTGAATGCAAGAGCTGATGGGATGTGGAACTTGTACGTTGAACGTCCTTTGTACCTTAACGTAGCCGACCTTACTAATCAGAGGTACGGGCAAAGGACAACAAACTAAACACATTGCGTACATTGCGGACGAGAACGGTTATGCTGGGCCAGGGTGGAGTAAGAGAAATATGAAATGGCATAATAACACTTCCAAGTATAGAAAAATTTAAACTTGAGCAAAACTCATGTTTGGGTTGTCCAAGATATACATTTTTTACACATTTACCTGCGAAACCGCGAATAAGGATAACGTACATTCAGCCAATTGACCGGTGCTTTAAACTTAATTTTGTATAATTAATAGTCAATATTAATTAAAATCTTAACTTTTTCCTCCATGTGAAGGTACTGTATATGTTTTCCCAGAACGTGCTTCCTTTATCAGTAATTGTACAACTTCTACTGTTCCAGCAATGAAACAGAGGATGCATTGATAATCAAAGAAGCTTCGTTTGGACCGAACTTTGTGCAGTGGTCTAACGATACAAAAATAAGATATTGCAAAGAATAAGCCTGGAATGAACTTAAGACACAAATGAACACAAGCAACATATCCAATATGCGCGTGACATTTTCAGTTGTATGACAGAACCAAGTAACACATGTGCATGCCCGGTTGTAACATTTACATTTCTGAGTAAAATGTTGGCTGTACCCATAACCGTCCCCTCGGGTAGGGCGAATCGGGGTGACTGCCCCGAGCTCCGCGCTTCGGGAGGGCCCCACGCTTGAACGTCACGGTATCAGATGTAATAATTACGGTCTTTGGGGGGGCCCGCACGGTGTGATTTTCCCCAGGCACCGCACCCCCATTATGGATGGCCATGGCTGTAGCTGCGGTAACATAGGGCTCTGACATGCCAAACCGATGACATCTCGTTTCTGAAATATTCCACTCGATGACAATTCAAATAAAGCCTGCAAAAGCACGTCACCAACTTAATATATTCCATTAAAATAAATTAAACCACAAAGCATAACAGTTTAGTTATTGCTTCTGTGTACGTATGAAAGGTGTTAACAGGCAATAAGAAAAGTGAAACATACGTTAAGGTTATCAATAAGTATTGTGCCTTTGGACATGCAAGTGAAGTGGCATTTTGGTTCATTTGGTTTTATTGTGTTAGCACACGATTAAAATGTAGATGCCAACCTGAATGTGAAAACGGTTACTTGTTTATTGACAGGCTGTTTCAATAAGTCTGTAAGATGTGATGTTGTGGCTTGTGTTTTTGCATCTTTCTTTTTTAGATCCATTCACACGTTTATCTGCACTTTTATTTGGTTGATTTTCTTCACAAGATCTACGATTAACCTGTTCCTGCACACATTACAGACAAGAACACTCGATTAATAAAAACGCACAATATATATTTATCATGCAAAACTAGGAGCGATATTTGCAGGGATGTTTTGTCTACTCTGTATATGGCAATGGTAAACCGTGAAAAAAATATGCATGTTATCCTGTTACATAATGGCAAAAGCAGTTTTAATGGTGAATTAAATAATGCTCAATAACCTATACACCATGAGAAACTCCCATTATATGCATTGAATTGCTATTGGCATACAAGGCCAATCATAGATTAGAGAAGTTATCACCAAATTTCATGCAGTTTGCTGTTTAAATCAATTAAAATAATAAGTTAATATTGTATTCACAACATTACAACAGCGCAAGGCTGCGACGCAGACGCTGTTTCACAAACACACATGCCATAGCACCACAGTAGGCAGCGATTTCCCTATTAACCCACATGTGCACTACCTCTTGAGTAACATCACGGGATCCTTAACATCGACTGTGAATCAGAGGGCGCGTATTTACGGTAAATACAACCCGTAGTATTTAAATGAAATTGTATGAGAGAAAAAGCACCTGCAGAATTAACCATGGCAGCTGGAGGACCTCGAACCGCTCACCTCTACAACGAGCGGAAAATGCACAATGGCTCGGCCATGCTACCATTTAATATTTACGTGATTTTTTTTTTATACAAGTGGTTTCATATAAAATTCTGTTACCATTAAAAGTGTTGTCGTGTTACATCTTTTCCTTACAATTGTTTTGCATGTTTAACATGTAGGCTTTCGCAACCAATATCATCGCGTAAATATTTACGCGAAAAAAAACCCTGTATCATGGATTATTTTGTACGTCTGCCATTTTTATATTTCTGATTATTTCTGATATTTTATGTAATCTGCAAGATCAGTTTGAAAATAATAAAATTTAAATATATAAAATACAAATCATCAATGGTACTTTTAACTACACTGCAAAACAGAATGCCACTTAAAAGCTCTTTATCCGTGATTTCAGTGAAGTTATTTGAAAAGTGTTACGCAAGGCTTTGGGTAAGAAATGGATGCTTACGGTGTCATGCACGGCACAAAGGAGGATACCGTACATGGCAAAGTAAGTCAATGTATATGTGTGTATGTGGTGTGCGTGTCCCTGGCTAGTCCTACTCACTCTTTTTCAAGGAGGCGCTGCACACAGCTGATCTGCTTGGGAGTCATCACGTTTTGCGCCTGCACCTCCAGATTCGGACGGACGATGACCTTCTTCTGCTGATAGTTGCGCTTATTCAGCATCTACAGCGCGCGTACCCGCAAACACAGCCACGCAAAACACAAGTGCCGCCGAACAGGCAATATGTGATGAATGGGAAAAAAAATAAGCAGCAGCGTAATAATTATTTCACTCATTTCGGAGCCCGCCGGTCGAGGTTTGATGGTTGAAATCGCGAATTTGTACTAAGGGGATTACCAAAAGTGTGGGTCTACGAGAAAGAGGATTATCAAGAGCTTCCGATTGTTAGCAAACAAGCTGCTTTGATATTCCTAATAGTGCAGGCTAACAGCAATTCCAATCAAATGCATAAATAATGTAGAATATTTTTTTCACAAAACCCTGTAACCAAATGTGTAATGGTATTACGCCTAACACAGAACACATATTTTATAGTGTCAGAGGTTTTTGGATTATGCAACGGAATACGTTTTTCAGAAATACACGAGGTAAAGACAATGACTAGAAAAAGATAACAACACAAATATGTCAAAGCGTTAAAACACGAAGAGGCGCAATATACACCAGACAGCGCTGGCTCAAGTGATGCAAATCCTAAAGGGCCCTAGAGGTTCCCCATCTGTTAATTACAAAACATTTCAAAAGTGCCGACTACTGGACAACACGCTAACAAGTGCTCCAAAGTGAAAAAGGATTGTATACTAATTTACATTTTTACATTGTGGACTCAGTGAGGTTGTGTACACTAAATTGAAAACACGTTTACATCAAGATACATTTGTAGACAGAAAAAACATGCCAAATGTTGAAGTTTTAGATCTAGATTAGAACTGTTTTTTGAGTTTAGTTCATCCTTGCCCCGCACCTCCGATTAGCAAGGATGGCTACGTACGGTGCGAAAGGAGTTCGACACACATGTACATATGTTGTGCTGATTAATTATACTGTTATTTTCCATTATTTTACATTATTGTGTATGTCCCCAGACCCACTGTGTGACATGCGGTACCACTGCACGCATGAAGCTGGTGTGCACAGCATGGCTGCCTTCCATACAGACGTTCATTGGCAGTTGCGAGTCGTGTGCACAACGGTGCACAAACATACATACGGGGGCCGTCCATAAATGACGTCACGCGATTTTGGACGATTTTTGACCGCCCCCCCTCGTCACACGGTGTCACAAAGTCAGACTCCCCCTCAAATATCACGTCACAAAGCTCTGCCCCCCCCCCCAAAACCATATTTCCATTTTGATAATAAAACATGCTTCAAATCGCTTTAAATTATTGTCATTGTAGTGCGTATTTAATGTGGCGCTGCACTCTGATGTTGTGTGTTGTGGGAGAAAACATTTATAAAAAAGTCTATTTAATTAAGTAGAACGTGTTGTCTATATTTATTTAAAGTTGCGCATTTTGATGTGACGTCACATTTCCAGGTGCGTGACGTCATTTATGGACGGCCCCACAGACGTATTGTCACAGTGAAGAGGCATGTGCTTAATCAGTGACCTGTTCGATAGATCGCTGGAGCTCCTCCACCTGATCGGTGATTGTTTGGATCTCGCTGCGAGCGTGTCGCTCTCTGTCCGAGAGGACGGGCAGACACGCGTGCGCTCCCCGCAGGACGCGATGCACTCTGAACACAAACGAAACAAACAGGGCATTTTAAAAAAATGCGTGCCGAACATCTATCACAAACACAACGGCGAATATAAACCATTAAACCATTTTTTTATTTTACTATGTAAGGCCCACACTGAGCTATATAGCTCTTTTTTAGACGACTGGCTATGACAAATGATAGCTTTAAAAAAAAAGTGGCTTATCACGTGCAAATTTATAACAGCCAAATACTCTAAAACCCATGTTGAGGGGGGGAAACCCAGAGGACCTGGAGAAAAATCCAAGGGACCACGGGGAGAACATGCAAACTCCAAATATAAAGCAGGTGTCAGGGTCAGAATCGAACCCACGACCTCCTGTATACCAGGTGAGGCAGTTATGCACAAAATAACATTTTAATATGGATCATACTACACTGTGTTTACACAGATACTTCAATACCACAACTCAACATGTGTAGTGGGTTCAATTGAGGCGCACACTCAACTTGGAGGCAACACTATTTAATAACGCATAACCAACGTGAACACTATACCTAAGGTGGTGATCACCGTTCCTCATCTCACTAACACTCGGGGAACACTACAGTGTGACCAAGGCAGGTGACGGGCTTGCCTGGTCACGAACGACGATCGGAGACTCGAGGACCGCTAATGGCGGCTTCATCCCGGGGTTGAACAGCCCAGCTATCTGTTCACACCCCGCTTATAACTCCCGTGGCGTGGCCGGCTCCGCCCCAGGCCATGCCCCCCTTCTCGATCCTTCGGGAAGGTACGGGCCCCCAACCACGTGACCCCCAAGCTCCCCCCTGGACCCCCTAGCCCCCCTTTGTTCGGTCACGTGTCCTGTTGGGTTCACCCAGAGTGTCACGCCTGACACGACCCCCGTGACACCCGCCTACAGCACCCATACCAAGCCAACACAGTAGTGACGTCATATGTCCCTACGCTCGTACAGTCCCGACGCAGTAGTGACGTCGTATGTTACTACACATGTAATACCATGTCATAAACAGCTTGTAGGTCATTTTAACAGAAATTCACACATTTGATACCATATGCAGTATGTTTAAAATGAGAATAAAATGGTGTACTATGCACCACATGTTGCGTCTCACCACCACACGTGCACTTGAGCGTACAAGTTTCAAGTTCATATTGTTTAACCAGGTGAGAGAACTCAAGAGGCCAGGATAGTCTCAATTGCAATAGCGACCTGGAGCATTAGTGTGCCAGTAGGGGTAGTAATAAATTGCTGTGTATAATCCCAAATGTGTAATATCCAAGTACGGTAATTCCGAATTTGGCAAATTTCCCCCCCGATGCTCTTGCGAACGTCAGGTGATCTTTAACGTCCGCTGTGAAGCAAATTTTTTATACGCATTATGGCGCACAGTATTATTACGGTCATTACAGACCCGCGGTATTAACGAGGGCGGCCACCGGATTCGAACCGCGAACCTCCGCAACGAGCGGCAAACACGTTGCCGCTGGACAAAGTTACCCACCTCTCCACCAGAGCCTCTTGTCTCTCTCGTGCATCCTCAGACTTTTCCACGAGACATTCAGCCGATTTCCGTAGCTCTTGCCTGTAAACATCAACCTCCATTGTAATCTTACTTAATTACAACTCAATTCTACGCGGGTCTGTACACGCACAAGTGCATTAGTTCATGTGTATGTGACCGAATATCGTAAAAGTCTATTGTAATCTTACTTAATTACAACTCAATCTAACACGCACAAGTGCATTAGTTCACGTGTATGTGACTGAATGTCGTAAAAGTCTATTGTAATCTTACTTAATTACAACTCAATTTAACACGCACAAGTGCATTAGTTCACGTGTATGTGACCGAATGTCGTAAAAGTCTATTGTAATCTTACTTAATTACAACTCAATTCTACGCGGGTATGTACATGCACAAGTACATTAGTTCGCGTGTATGTGACCGAATGTCGTAAAAGTCTATCTCTTAAGGCTGCAGTGAAGATTTAGGATACACTCAGGAAAGCCAACATTTGTAGATAATGCTTCCTACAATTACATACCTTTGAAACAGTATGAAAGCTAAATACATCTACGTTGTCAAAAGTCTGAATTTCACAGTACATTGCCAGACTGACATTGATACCGCTGGACAGTTCTGCCTATGCTTTCTGAGTGTCCTTAAATGGTTATGCGTGTTTTAATTAGTTTAACACGTAGGCTTGTGTGACAAATATTATGCACAAGAGGTTTTTTGGGTTAGATCGCGTAAATATAATTGTGTCGTTAAACTTGCCACCACCCAACACAGCCAATTAGAACGGTTTGTCACGAACAAAACATGCCAGCACACCGGTGTGTTGGAGAGTAAACCCACATTTCCAATTCGGGTACGACGTTTCGCCGGTAATCACAACCTTCCTCATTAGGTGACAGGCTGTCTCCTGATGAGACTGGTAGTGGCGGGTTAAACGAAACATTTATATTTACGCGATCTAACCCAAAAAATAAACTCTCATGGATTGTTTGAATAATTCAAAGGTGAACAATTCTATCATCTACTTCTCCAGGAAAGCACATCTCTGCATCACTGAGACCAAAAAATGACATCAATCATATAGAAAAAGGATTAAGGGGTATCACTATACAGTAAATATATCACACACACACACAATGTAAGGAAATTAATGCGTACGCTTGGTGAGAAATCTGTTTCAGATCTTCCATCTGTTTTTCTTTCTGCTGCCTCATTCCCCGTACTCTGAAATGCAAACATTGGATCAAAAGCGGGCACATGCAGACACGCACACACACATACCCCTAGATTGTAAACTAATTTCTTGAGATTGAAAACTCATTTTTTTAGAACAATTTTTTATGTTTAGTTTATTGCCCTTCCCCCGCACCTTCACAATTAGCACGGTTGGTAACGTACGGTGCGAAAGAAGCTGAACATACATACATACACCCACAAGGAGGTAAATGGGACCTTGAATAATATATACACTTCAAAAGGAAGCCAAATTTGTACTGTGGGGTGCAGTGGTTTGTGAACTAGACTGTGAACTCCAGTGACCCGAGCTATAATTCCTGGTCGTTGTTAACATCGATGGCAAGTGATATCTGAACCAGTGATGGCCCCACCCCCCCCAACTTTTTTAAGGTTGCAACTTGCTTTACACTCAACCAGAAGACCATTTTTGTCAAACCAGTCATAAAAACACAAGTAACCTTATCCCTTTTATGGTAAATTGTCAACATTGATGCAAACAACAATGACTCTGCTCATGGGAAAATGTATGTTGAAACTGGTCCAGGAGTTTGCATGCCTTGAATCGTCGCTGCTAAAATTATGCACTCCCACAAGGCCACATTGCTGATGGATTGTGTAAGAAATGAATTTTTTATTTTTTTCGCAAAGACAGATACGTGAAAGAGACGTAATATGCTTCTTTATTTTGTTATTTATTTTCTCCGCAACGTCGCAAATGATTTAAATCCTCTCGTGAATCGCTGTGAGCTCACAACAAACGCCGCGCGTAAGAAAGCAGAGGGCAGCATTTAACACTCGCCTGCGTAAGATTGCATCCCGCGCCAAGTCCAGTTTCAGAATGTTCTCTTCCCGAAACACCTGCACTGCACGCGTGACGAGCTGTAGACACTCGCACTGCGACAGCTGTGCCTGGGAGCCACACCTGGGAAAAGACGCGCGCCACGTTCACAAAAACCAATCCATAAATGGAGCACTGATACAGTCAACATTATACCCTTGTTTCAGTCACTTACGACCATTCGTTATTTTATTTTATTCAATACGCAGACCTGGGTATTACTAATTTGTAGGTTTTCACTTTTGTGCGAGACGGTTCTCTCGATGTGTTTTCAGATTGTACCGCGTGTTGTTTGGCATGATGTCTGACGTTTCGTTCCATATGCTGGAAGCTTTTTCAGGACTGAATTTAAGTTCCTGTAGAGCTCCTGAACATAGAGCAAAACATCACACTCATGATCACATCGACAAGCTCGACATGGGTATGCCCCACAACTTAACAAAAACATTTTTGCCCATAAACCTTTGCACCTGCAGAATATTTTCATGCAGCCATTTGTTTAAACAGCAAACCCTGGACCACTTTTGATTTTATGAGTCTCATTGGCAGTTGGGCCTGTTCAATAAATTACGTTGAGTTGCCTGGTGATATTTGCAACAGCCCTCCATGAACAAATATTGAAGCTGATAGGACTAAAATGTTAGTTTAAACGTACATGGTGGGACAGACATGTCTATTATTTCACGCAATCCAGCACAAAGATAAGGTTACCCTGTATATATATATACCCTTTAAAATAATGTGAGGGCAGGTGCTGTTAGCGAGCACCTATGAAGGCCGGCATGGCACACGAGAGGGTGGGTGGCCAGCACCACGGCCAGCAGCCTTTGTCTGCTCAGTGCTGATGTTTTCACACCGCACCAGGTACTCATTTGAGGCCAAGTCGACCTAGGGGAGTCCCAGCAACAGTTCAGATATTCGTCACTGGTGTTTGGTTATAAACGGGAATCGAACTCAGGTCGCCGGGCTCATAGCGCAGTGCGCTAAACGTTACACACACAAACACGTCACACCTCAGTATGGGATTTCTCGTGTCTCGCTGTAGAATGCTATGGATGCGGTGCTCCAGCGATTCCTCCCGAAACGAATGCGACGCCACCCTCATGCTCGAGCCCCCTGCCTCGTCACCATTCTGACTCATGGACGCTTGATCAATGAGCAGTGCAGAGGGCTGCCAGGTGAACATACTGCACTCCACAGAACACAGCAAAACACATTGCACTCTTTAAAGACAACAATGGGAAAACAAACAAGCCAATCCCTGCTATGAATCATGAAATTAACAGTGTGAAGTAGATTGGCCACGACTGCAAAGCTCAGTTTTGTGGCAGTCCTTCGCTGTGCGTACAAACACTGGGCTGTAGAGACCACGGGGATTTGCAAGAGGGTCACAGCTTGCAGGCGGGACACTGGTTTGCGTCAATCCTCAAGCTCCGTGGCAGCCTCCCCTGCCATTTTGCAATGAACCTCCAAAAACACGCCCATGTTATAAGTAACTCGAAACATTCGGCAATCACACCGTGGCCTTACATATATTGTATGTACGTTGAACTTCTTTCGTATCGTACGTAGATAACAGTGCTATTCAGAGGTGCGAATGCAGTTAAACTCATGCGAATGCAGCTGAACCCCTATTATTAGTCATCCTTTAAGCCATAAATGTTGTCTGCTGCTAACAGCATAGCAGAAATGTAACGATTATGCAATTAATTGAGTATAATACATTCTTGCACTCACGATAAATTAACTGAATCGTGTGTACACGTTTGTATGTAGAACTTATTTCGCACCGTACGTAGCCAACTAAGCTAATTGGACGTACGGAGGAAGGACAATAAACACAAGAAGCAGTTCTAAAGGAGTGAATGTTTTTGTGCAGACAAATGATATTTGAGATTTTCTGTATTTATGACCACTACATAGTTCAGCTGAGTGGTGGTGGTGGCGCACGCCTGTAATCCACTACTGTGGAGGCAATGGTTTGTGGATCATAGCACAGCCAAAAATTCCCTTTCCGTGGGAACCAAGGTGCCATACCCTAGGAGAAGTCAGTACAGCAAACTGCAGCCTAATCTCCTTTCTTCCATCTGCAGAGGATACAGTTTTGCCCTCTTGCACACGTGGATTTTCTCTAGGTGCTGCGGTTTATTCTCACATGCATAAACACTCATTGTTTGAAACACCTTAATATATAGAGGACTGCAGAACTTGGATATTTGCCGATGCCAGCTCGTTGCCTGGCTGCTACCATCCAGCATATCCGTTCTTCCTCAGAGATTGTGAAAAGCAATTTGCACGAACGATTAGATATTTTAAAATACTAAGCATCCACATTAGTACACATGACTCATAAACTTGTTGGGCTTACAGCAGCGGTCTTGTGACGACTTCGTAATTGGAAGTAAGGCAAAGGATGACTGCTCCCATAGATAAGTCACGTACAATGCACACTCCTTGAACTGCAGGGCCATGCCTTCACACAGACATTCCGACAGCACAGATGCAGGTTATAATGCATTGAAATTATTTGAGCAGATTTCTTGTAATTTATACACATTTCTCCAAAGGTGACGATTCAGAAAAGATATTTGAAGACGATTAGTGTGACCCTGAAATAAGTGTGGTATTGAATAGGTATGGCATTTATTTCATTAATTAAAGGTGTATGAAATTACCCTGGCCTGGACAAATGAGATACTGCACAGACAAAGCAAAAAAATGTGGCCCTTGTATTCAATCATGACACACCTGACCCCAACAATTAATTAAATGTGTGCATCAATGAAGTAAGATGTCAAGGGACCAGGCAGACTGACCTAGGGCCTCTAATTAAGACCCCTTAACCTTGCTTATCAAGGTAAAGCATTGGGTAAGGCCAGGATCGAGACAACTAAATAATCAGGGAGTGGAAAGGAAAGTCATTTGATCGATAACACATTCCTGTGGAGGGAGCTGGTAGGAACGTTGGGTTGCTCGGTCAATGGCCAGGGTCAACGGCGGCGTGGTGTATTCCGCAAATATGGCCGACTGTGAGGGCGGGCACAAGCCGGCGTGAGTAGGTTAAACGTTGAGTTTTATAAGGGCACCACGGGGTGACCAGCCCCTCCCCACCCAGCCCCTCCCCACCCAGCCCCTCCCCACCCAGCCCCTTCCCCACCCAGCCCCTCCCCACCCAGCCCCTCCCTGCACGACGGACGGACACAATAATCCCCTGTGGGCTGGTGGAACCAGGAGGTTCCTACCAGTATTACTGATGCAAATGAATTGTGATTATGTACACAACACTGCAAAACGTGGATGATGATTGCGTTAAGTATATTTGCATTGTATTTTTGTATTGAAAAATATGTAGACTGTTATATGTTGCTAGGAACACTGAAGACAAAGTACATACATGTTTGCCGATGGCCGGGTGCACAGCACATGCTCAACTACAGAGGGGTGATCGTCCGCCAGCGTCGTGAGCTCATCCTCGGATTTCTCCTCGCCCGCTGCTCAGCACACAAAGAAACATACAACACAAATCAACCCCACTTCTCAGCACACCAAAGAAACGTGCAACACAAATCGCCGCATTGCAGGTCCACACCACGAACACACTTAACAGCCAGGGGGGACCATTGCACGGTACCGTATACGGGCCCAGGGATGCAACCCTATTTTCCCATAAGGTATATTATTTGTCGAAACGCGGTTTTGTGTTTCCACAAATACAATATGGTATTTTCCAAGAATGTAACCCCCGTGTTAGGCGAGGTATCGCTGGACCGACACACTCCTTGCGGACTTCATCCGAGATGCAATAAACTCTTCGATAATCTAGAAAAATCTCGACGAGGTTTTACAAAATTTATTCAATGTGAGACTGCGAGGTTTCGGATAAAGCGGAGGCATCACCAGCGGTGTGGGGGCCCAGATGCCACCTCACATTGAATGAGCAACACTCGAGCACCATCTATGCAAGTGCTGGCAAAATCCTCCCTTCTCTGCATGCAGACTGCTACCTAACTTGAACGGCCAGACTTGCTCTTGTTTCTACTATCCCTTTGTTTCATTCACCTGTGCCACTCAAAGGAGTCAGTTATCGCCACCTAGCGGAAATTTCTGGCTATGCACTTTGCATCACTGCTTGTCTGAACTGGAACCGCAAGCCGAACAACTTATTTAGTTTGAACCTTTTTTTGAGATTGGTCTATGAGATGACTAAGAATTTTGTGAAAAATTATTCACTTTCATGAGAAGCAAATGTAACATACATTATAGATCAGCATTCACATGTCTAGTATACATGTACAGGCAGCAAGCACACTGTAATTGTGTAGGAATCAAAATATATGCTGGAAAATAATTCAAATATACATTTGCAAGGCACATTTCATCCATAGATCCCAATGCGCCCTGTATGAAACGCAGGAAATCAACAGAACCAGCTGGGTAAACGGCCAGAACTAGGTAGGGGGTAAAGGCCAGTTTAAAGAGGTGAGTTTTTTTAAGACAGGACTTAAATATAACCAACGATTCCTATTGTCTTATTAGCAAAGTGTTCCAAAGCTTGGGAGGCTGCACTGGAAAAAGGTGCGTAGGTGAGCGAGTGAGGTTGGTGCACCGTTGTGCATGCGACTCACGACTGCCGACGAACGTCTGGATGGAAGGCAGCCATGTGATCGCTATGCTGTGCACACCGGCTTCATGCGTGCAGTGGTACCGCATGTCACACAGCGGGTCTGGGGACACAAACAATAATGCAAAATTATGTAAAATGATAGTATAATCAATCAGCACAACATATGTACATTCGTCAACCTTCTTTCACACCTTGATTTGAAGCTTTTGTGACTGCAGGAATTACTTCACCGAAAGAACCAAATAATTATTTCACACCGTGCGTAGCCAACCATGCTAATTGGAGGTGCGGGGAAAGGAAAACAAACTAAACACCAAAAGCAGTTAAAACAGGGTAAAACTTTGGGAATAGCGTTAGAACTCCATTCGCATTCAACACAGCTTCTTTGGCATACGACACAAATTTTAATCATTTCCCTGTGGTGATGACTTGCCAAAATCTGTTTTAAAAATAAAAAATAAATTGAGTGTGTAATGATCAACACAAGGGCAAGTGACTAGTTTTTTATGTTAACTTTAACACCATAAAATAAATATATTTGTTGTCAATAAATATAAAGACACCAAAAATATTTTTTTTAAACCTCTAAATATTAACAAATGTGTTAGAATTGTAAAATCATGAAAAATGACAGCATAATCAATTCACACAACATGTGGTCAAACTGCGGTTAAAATTTGTGGAGAGCATCAGAACTTCAGACAAAAACTATAAACACAAACCACCTAACATCACCTGTCTCGTCAAAGCAATAGCTATTTTAAAACACATTATATATGGTGGCGCTGCGTTGGCAGTGGTTTGCAAACACAAATAACAACAAACACAACACAAGCTTTGAAGAAGAGTCACTGCGCAAAATGTCACCTATTCAATATTTGTTCATACTGGTAGGAACCACCTGGTTCCACCAGCCCACAGGGGATTATTGTCTCCGTCCGTCCGTTGTGCATCCAAAAATAGAAGGGGTGGGGCTGGGTGGAGAGGGGAGGGTGGGGAAGGGCTGGGTGGGGAGGGTGGGGCTGGGTGGGGGGTGGGAGGGGTGGGGCTGGGTGGGGAGGGGCTGGTCACCCCGTGGTGCCCTTATAAAACTCAACGTTTAACCTACTCACGCCGGCTTGTGCCCGCCCTCACAGTCGCCCATATTTGCGGAATACACCACGCCGCCGTTGACCCTGGCCATTGACCGAGCAACCAAACGTTCCTACCAGCTCCCTCCGCAGGAATGTGTTTAAAAGGCAGTGTTATATATACACGTATGTACGTTGAACTTCTTTTGCACCGTACGTACCCAATGGTGCGAATCGGAGGAATACTTAGATTTTTTGTTATTTTACAAAGGGATGTAGGGCGTACGGGCCACGCACTAACGCTCACCTCGACTAAGCCTGATGGGGCACGTGAAGTCTGCCAACGTCTGCTCCTCCAACTCGCTGCTCGAAGGCAGATTCAGGGACAGCTCCAGCTCCACGGCGTCAAACACGAACAGCGTGTACGGGAGGCCGTCCTCCGTCTGCGCAGGCGCGCATGCACACGTCAACGTTTCACACAACGCCATCATCATCATCACACCGACTTCTCTTAAAACTGAATAATTAATGTGTTCTATAAACCATCCCAACAATAAATGTTATTAAAAAAAGGCGATTTTAGGCACAATCCAATGCAATAATTTCATGTACAGCCCTGCCTCCACATACTGTGTGGGTCATAGGGGTCAATGTTTCACACAACGTCATCATCATCACACCGACTTCTCTTAAAACTAAATAATTAATGTATTCTATGAACCATCCCAACAATAAATGTTATTTTTTAAAAAGGCAATTTTAGGCACAATCCAATGCAATAATTTCATGTACGGCCCTGCCTCCACAAACTGTGTGGGTCGTAGGGGTTATTCGATCCTTCTGGCGGTACCCAGGGGTACCAAATAATACAAAATGGCTGAGGCAATTAAATATTTTATTTCTGGGACACTATTTTTTTCAGGGGTGTACGCAACTCCGCGATGTCGAAACGCAGCGAGGACGATTGCGCTGAAACCCTGAACACTCATATGCACCATAGTGCATCGTGTACAGCTCGTCGAGACGAGTCGATTGCCGCATCGCCGACCATCAACAGACTAAAAATTACTGCATCACGGACATTATGTGAGAGCTGGGGTACCGCCATAAGGTTCATTTGACCATATTTGACGCTGGTCAGTGCAGGTTAGTGAAGGCAGGGAGCAAAGAACATAGTACATGAAAATGTAATTCGCTACGCACTTTCCATCGGCTACCCAAAACATAGCCCCCCCTCCCCCCCCCCGCAAGCAGAAAACACACGTTTTATGCACGCTGCTTCTCCCCATCCAAACACTTCTTTAGACTTCTGATATCTCACGAGATGGGACACGTACAGGGCGAACTGGTCACACTCATCGCTTCAAGCAACCGCCTGAAATGCCACACACCAAACACCCACGTGCCTGAGCCTCTTCGAGCAGCAGGCAGTGGTACACGGTCCCCGTCTCGGTGGCGATGACGAGCACGGAAGGGGAGTTGCGTAAACACAAGAGGGAGCACGCTCCGTATCCGTAGTTGTCTTCTGCCGCGGGGTGCATCGGCAGGGGCCCCAAAACTCGATCGCCTGTCCGGGACTTGCCACTGGGGAGGAGAAAAAAAAAGGTTGCGTTAACCCTTTTCCCATTCCGAGCCGTCTGCGTGTTGCAGGGTTGTGGGTGTCCCGTTCACCGCTGAAGCTCAGAAACGCACAAGCGGTTCGCGTTAATTTTATTTAGAGAGGCATAACGCCGTTTTTTAAAATAAAGACGTTGTACTCACTGCAGGGAACTGTAGTTTCACTACCGCACTCTACGATAGCCCACACCAAACTGTGGCACACGCCCTCCCGCATGGCCTTTTGGAAGCCTCAATACCGGTAAAGTAAAAAAAAATGTTGTTCCGGTGACGCATGCGTACGTCATCGGAATGCATCTACCGCGTTAAACAAGGACTTATTGTAATTGCAAATCCGTAAATTACTTGAGAACCTCCTACCTCAATTATCACCTGATACTTTAAGTTCCAATGCACAATCTTGACATCCTCTGGATATATTTAGAAACGTACGTTTAGAGTAATTGGCTGCTATAAATTTCCATATGATAAGCCACTTGATTGGGCTATTATTTGTGGCCAAATCACTTATGAAAAGGGCTATATAGCTCAGTGGACGGGCCTTAACTCATAAAATAAAATAAGCATTGTTAAATAGTTACGTACTTATACGGGTCACAATAAAAACATCTCAATGGACTGGGGTTAATGTCTGCTCAGAAAAAAGACCAAGACTATGTAACTCCCTATCCGTTGAGACACGTATTCACCGAGTTTCAGCAGACAATCAAAATGCTTTCAGTTCGTGTGTCTGTGAACAAAAACATTTTTGTTAGACGACCTGTATGCTGGCATCAACATTTTCAAATTAGAAATGACCTGCAAATTAAGCACATTTGAACTGAAAACAGCAATCAGCACCCTCCACTGTCTGCCTAATTCCCCACCCAGGCCACCCTTAAAAATGAGACTGCTGGTCTCTTGTGCTGTTACCTGGTTAAATAAAGTAAACTTTAAACACTCCTTCCCTTGGTCAATTCCTGCAATTTCCAACAGTTTTCTCTTTCATAATTCTGGGCTCTGGGTATGTTTGTTAAACTACAGCCCCATTACAAATGCAAGTTATTGTCATTGTTGTTAAGCTTGCCCGCGTACCTCAGAGGGAAAGTGCGGATGTGCCATCCACTCATACAGAATCGTCAGAATATTTATTTATCCTGGAGAAATCCGATGATCTCCCAAGCTCTTTTTCACAGATAATGTCCAGCATTTCACAGAGAGTCCAGCACAAAGTACGCTTCTCTCACCTCAAGCACGTGTGAACGACGTACGTCTCTCCGGTTTCGTACAAGACGTAAATGGGAAACACGGTCTCTTCCGGAGGAGCGATTCTGGATGTGCGCGCGCTGCTCATGGTGGGCACGCCAGGCACAAGAGGCACTTCGTTTTGCTTGGGTCGGGCTAGGCCAAAGTCAAACGCCACGGCTCGCTCGCCCAGAGCGCACGCAAAGGAAGACCTGCCAATGCAACACAAGAGAGCAGGCATAAAACACTTTCAAAAATGCACCATGAAAAAATGAATACCTGCAGTTCTGTGAGCAGTGCGAACAGCAGCGTAACAATGCTCAGTTGGAGGGGCTGCATTAGGGTTGATATGGTCGAATACAAACATATCTGCTCAACACAAATGTGCGAATAGAAACATTTCCAGTGTATGAAAATGGTGCATGTTTTTGGTTATTTCGCATGTTTGTATACTGTTATTCTGCATGCACTTCATGATGCTCGCAATGTACGCACACACTGTATCGACAGGTTTGCCTAGAAATACATGAATTCAATTTACGATTATTCGTTGTTGCGTTCGTTATAAATTAACACTTTTTCAGTTTACGTCCTGCTTGTTTCATTATTACGTTTGTTAAAATTCAAATTTACATTTCTTCGGTGGGAAAAATCAAAACACCCATAGTATATGCACGTTGTCGTTCGTCCGTGCGTGCATTTTATACTGTTCCAGGCCGTTTGCCTGGTCACCGCGTTTCATAGACTCGCCACCTTGTTTAAAAACCACGTAGTTCAAACTAAAGCAATACCTCATCGTACGCAGGGGTTACATTCCTGGAAAATGTCGTGTTCTGCAAAACCGCCTCCACAATTAATAGACCTCATGGTAACAATAGGGTTCCGTTACTGGGTCTGAAACTATCACCCCGCTCCATTCTCTGTTTAACTAATTCTACACGATTTTCACCATTGTTATTGTAATTAAGGATGCCAAGTCACTCTCAATTTTTTGTGTGTGTGTACAATCTTTATTCTTTTTTATTTCACTTCGCGCACTCATGCCCAATGCTCGCCCATGGCATTGGATTTCCAGCCCGACTCTCGTCCCTAACACTGAATATCCGAAGCTCACTCCCAATTCGTTCATATCTAGATGAACCAATCAACGCCAAACTTTGGCGTGAAGGGCGTTGTCTGTCTGGGTACGTCACGGTCACTTGCACGTTAATGATACACCATCTAGGTGTCCGTACGACCAACGTCCTCAATGAGTGGACAGCTAGATGCATGCGGCAATGTAGGTGAACATTTAAAGTGTCATTTTAGTAGGTTTGAGGTCACAAATACTTTTCTTAGGAACACATCTTAGGTTATATAATGGGACCTTATGGGAAAATATTTTTCGGCATACGATTTTTCCCTTTACATTCATGTTTTTAATAATGCAACCCAGTTTCAGGAAATACAACTGCATTTGCTATGACTGGATAATGCAGTGTGCACATTACCGTGATTGTGGCAAGCTCGGGGAGTCCTCGAGGTCCGGTGTGAGCGAAAACACCTTCACTGCGGTATGGGGGTCAGCAACGGCATATATCCTGGTGACAACACGCCACAGAAAGCAGCATTACTTGCAATGCACACAGCACAAGCCATACGGCGTTAATATCAACACCAAAAATTGGCTATGTAAATACACACACATATACCAGTTTATAAGCGAGTGTTACAAAAGTGGTTTTTTATTGCAAGTTCAATATGGTGCGATTAACGTTTGCTTCCATAAGTGCACATGAATCAGTGCCAGTGACTATGATCACACTTCTGCTCGTCATGTACAGTGACAAGCGTATTATTGCCCATGCACATATGATGGTGAGTCAATGTTTTTCCACTGATCCTGAAAGAATAACCATACAGTGGTGACAAGCTGCATACATGTTAAATTATTTTAATCAATTTCCAAACAGTGCCACATTTTACCCGGCGGTAAAAGTTTTCTGAAGTCATATTATTCGTCTCTGAAACCACAACTGAAGAAGTTAAAACTAGTCCATATTTGCTCTTTAAACAAATTCTGTTGGAAAACATTGGGAGAATGCCAATAATCTGATGGGACTACATTTATTTTAACAGTCAAACAGATCCCTATATATTATTCTGTGTATTTCTGTTGTACATGCACAGTCACAAATGTGTGAACATGCACATTCACAAATGTGTGAACATGCACATTCACAAATGTGTGAACATGCACATTCACAAATGTGTGAACATGCACATTCACATCGGTATATTTCTATGTGTGACTACATTGTTCAATTGGGATTATACACAGCAATGATTGCAAGCCACATGTTGAGACACCATGTGCTGCACAGGGACAGCTGTCACTGGAAGTGCCCTTTAAACCGTGACGTCAAGTGTTGCTAGACATCTCGGTGTGTTGGGTGCTATATCGAAAACAAATCGTCATCATTGCTGTAGTTAACCACGGGTGTTCGAGCGTTTACCGCATCATGTTGTCTGAAGTGAGCAGCACCACGTGTGGCTCAGTCCCACCCTCCTCAGGGAACCAGCTTAAATCGAGCAGGCGCAGCGACGGGCGGCTGGTGAACAGGCGCTCCGCCACTATCGTAACCCTAAACACACAATTATGTGTTAGCACAAAGACAAAGATCCCCCCGTGTAGCTTGAAGAGACTGTTGGGGAAAATGCTGTAAGCCAGCACCTATGAAGGCCGGCATGGCACATGAGTGGGGTGGGTGGCCAGGACCACACACCGCTCCAAATACTAATTTGAGAACGAGTCGACGTAGGTGAGGTCCAGGAACGGTTCAGATAATTGTCACTGGTGTTGGCCGTGAGCAGGAATTTAACTCTGGTCGTCAGATTCGTAGCACAGCGCGCTAACCAACTACCGCTCCCCACACACACTCACACTGCTGTCTGCAGATTTAAGGGTCAAGCCCTTTCAGCTAGCATATGCCAACTCGTGAAACATCACAGCAAGTCAACCTGGCCTGCCCCTATTCTATGTAGCAAAACTCACAGCATGCAGAAAAGAGTCTACACTTGGCGATTTATAGCTGGACTAATTTATTATTATTCACATTTACTAATCACTGCAGGACAAAAATGTCCAGCATAAGATCGAAAACAACTTTAAACAGTTAGTCAATCGTAAAACAGCGTAAATATAATTCAATCTAAGCGCGCGACTTTAAAATCACACCTGCAGTTTGTGCACGAGTCTTTCGTTCCGGCTTGAGGGTACGGAGGCAGGTGCATGACGACGAGGCCACGCGAACCCGCCAGGGCGACAAGCGACGTGGCAGAAGGCGAGGGCAGCACTCGCTGCACGCGGAACGACGGCGGGTCCAAGCACAGCAGCGTCTGGGGCCCACAAACGAGGAAAGGTCAACGCGCAGCGGCAAGGCTCCAGTCGCGTGCGCAGCGATGGATAGTTGTTTGCAGGTCCTTTTTAAGCGGTAGGTCTCTCGTGCGGCCGTGGGCCGGATGTAAAATCATTGGACGGTCGTCATCGATTTGGTCCATAACCCATTTGCTGTAACAGGCAACACCTGGCCAACTTACAGGTATGCAATTTGGGAATGTCATCGAGTACAATAATATTACCCATGAAATGAAGGCTTATAATAAATCAATTGTGATAGCCACATTAGAGTGGTTGTAAGCTCGTGGAAAATGTTTACATTTAAAGGATCGCCATAGGTTGTGTTGATTACATGAGCCAGATTTCTTGTAGTGCAGTGAAATGCTGCAGCTTTGGTTGTACACAGATTAAAGGTCAAAGGGTAAGGCGATGCAAGCCTCCTAACACGCTACTGGATATGACAACGCATGTTTAACAATATTTTTTTACGTGGTTAGAGCCAGGATTAGTAAAGGGAGTGTCGATGGGGGGGGGGGGTAACGGAGTATCGGGGGGGGGGGGTAAGGGAGTGTCGATGGGGGGGGGGGGGGGGTAACGGAATATCGGGGGGGGGGGTAAGGGAGTGTCGATGGGGGGGGGTAACGGAGTATCGGGGGGGTAACGGAGTGTCGATGGGGGGGGGGGGGGGTAATGGAGTATCGGGGGGGGTAACGGAGTATCGGGGGGGGGGGGGTAACGGAGTATCGGGGGGGGGGTAACGGAGTATCGGGGAGGGGGGTAACGGATTGTCGATGGGGGGGGGGGGGGTGTAACGGAGTATCGGGGGGGGGGGGGGTAACGGAGTATCGGGGAGGGGGGTAACGGATTGTCGATGGGGGGGGGGGGTAACGGAGTATCGGGGGGGGGAGGAGGGGGGGTAATGGGCTGCACCTCAAGTCCACCCTCGTCCCCGCGGCGCCGTCCGCTCTCGGCGCGGAGCAGCGCGGCTGCGCGCTCGTCCCACGCGTACACGTGGTCCCCCAAGGAGAACAGCAACTCCCGGCTCGCCGCCGCCGCCGCCGCCGTCCCCCCTTGGGGTCTCCCTGGGGGGGTCCCGGCGGCTCCCGCGGAGGAGGCGGCGGCCTTCTCCGGCTCGGGAGAGACGGAGGCGGCGACCTCAGCGAGCCGCGAGAACAGGTCCCGCAACCCCTGTGAGGAGAGCAGCGACATCTTTCGGCGGGGTGCCCTGGGCGAGCAAGGGGACGAGAAGAGGTTTAGACGAGGAGGTTTATGATGATGCTGACGAAGAGGAGCGACTCAAAAAATGCGTTCAAACGCCGAGCGGGAAACACGAGACCGGGAGTTCGCCGTGGATCGATCCACGCGCGCCGAATCGACGGTATACGATTCCTGATGTTAGGCGACGTGCTGACGAGAATCGCGCCGCAAATCTACGATTCTTCGATTCGTGCGTGAGTGCGAAGGGGCCTTTCATCCAGCAGTGGTGATTGATGGAGGTGGGGGTGTTTTTGGTGATGGTGTGCGTGCTATAAGGGATATAGCGATTTAGCGCGGGCTTATTTTGTTTTTTCCACCGTGGTGGAGGGCAGAGAAGCGACGCTCACAACAACGAGCGGAGCACCGGGCGGTTAAAACGCAGCAAGTTGGCACAGGTGGTGGTGCATCTACCAGTCATCTCAATCGGTCAACCCATGGCACCTGCAGGGTCTGTCCCGAGACCTCCTGCACCTAGCCTGGCACAGTAGGGGGCACAGTTGGTGGTGCATCTACCGGTCATCTCAATCGGTCAACCCATGGCACCTGCAGGGTCTGTCCCGATACCTGTCAGCGAGCCTTCCGACTCATCACGTGGGCCTCAAAAATGCACCTGGCCTGGCACAGACCCTCGTGGTGTCGTCACAGTCACTTCGTGACGAATGATCGGGTATTGGTTATTGGTATAGCGATGTTATCGATTCTGAAGTAATTAGTTTGAGTTAAATCACCTCACGATCTGACCAAATGTCGTTATCATCCTCACCCACCTCTACAGAGCCAAACAAATTATTGTAAGCCATCGCCGGAATCGATTCGATTTTTAATTCCCACAGCGAATCGCTAAGTAGGAATCGCTTCCCCTTTCGTTCGGAGTCGTTTACGAAAAGGATCGATGCAAGGTCGTGCGGAATCGTGAAGTTGGAATTGGAAAGATCTGGATCGATTCAACTTTCTGCTCACCTGGACCCGGCTTGCCAGAGCCGAGGTTTTAACCTCCAGGCAACAACAAAAAACACATTTACGGCAGATTTAATCTGCCTATATAAGCAGACTAACGTAGAAGTAAGGAAAAAAGGTTTGCACATATAGAATATTACCTAATGTAGACAGTGATTACAAATACACTCCATACCTGATAATACTGGCAAATGAGGTTCCAATGGTGAAACTCCATACCTGTTAACCCCTTATCACTGCCTACCTTTTTAAATCCTTTATATTAAGTTCACTTGCTTGCTTAGGACCGTGCAAATCTTTCGGTCGTTTTTTCAACCCACTTCCCGTGATCCAATCGAGCTGACATTTTCCACACAGACTCGTTGTGCGAGACAATTAATGTTCGTGAAATTTTTTTCCCAAAATTTTACACTTTTTAGGACAAAAAGATTATATTTAATTACCAATTGCTTAATGCTGCCATGCAATCATCTGAACCATAGGTGGCAGCCATCTCAAGCCAGAGGACGAGAGGACTCTAGCCGCCACGCATATAAAGGATTTATAGTGAAAAACTTTGTTTTTACGGGTTATACTTTTACAGACCAATTCAGAGACTTTATTGGTCACCCCGTGACCCTTATAAATGGCAACGTTCATCCTACAAAGTCCCATCACAAGGGATAAACACAAACAAACAGACAAAAAAATGTTCCCGCATTGGACCTATCCCTGTACAAGAATACGGGTAAACCGTATGGGTTGATAGTAATGTGACTACTGCCTATCAAATAAGATGATCTACACATTTTTGGACCATCTTATTTGACAGGCACTATTTTACTTTACCGAGTGTTAACATCCCCAGCGTTTAACAGTACTCTCCTTTTTGTATTTGATTGTCAACCAACACTGGGTTAAACAACATGGGCATTTTCGTTCTCTTCTAGCATGTGCACCAACAGGCGCACCAACAGTTCCACATGCACTGTCTTTTATCCCCCCCCCCCCTCCCAATACGTTCCATTCATTGGCTACCACATTCAGATAAGCCCCCCCCCCTCCCTCCTCCCCCCCTTAACTTGTATTTAAGAACTTGTATCTTGGAATCTTTGCCTCACTTGATACAGCAAATCTAGCTGTGACGGTCCCACCTGATGACGGAGACTTGTGTTGCCTCCGAAACGTCGTGATTTATTATTTTATTTTATTTCTATTATTACTTTTAGTAATTTTTTATTTAATTTTTTACCTACGTGACTTTACCGAAAAAACCTAAGAGTATGAATCTTTGCAGTCACCAAAGCTTCAAATCTAGAATTTTATAAGGGCACCACGGGGTGACCAGCCCCTCCCCACCCAGCCCCTCCCCACCCTCCCCACCCAGCCCCTCCCCACCCAGCCCCTCCCTGAACGATGGACGGACACAATAATCCCCTGTGGGCTGGTGGAACCAGTGGGTTTCTACCAGTAATACATTTGTGTGTTCACGTCCTCACATGCATTCATAACTCTGCCCTTGCCTGCCTTCGTAACACCGAACGCCTACGTTTTAAACCCAAAAAGCCTCGCCTGGCTTAACCCTCAACCCTCATTCTAAACCCTGACCTGTTTATACAATAAGATTAAAATTTCAATGAAATAAATATCATCTGATGGATTTTTTTTTACCTTTCGTACTCACCCAGATCGATGGCATTAAAGTTACTGCTTTTAAATTGCAAATATTTTCTTCGTGGCGTTCAGTCGTTTCTCAGGGTGTTTAAAATGAAACACTGAGAGTGCCCTGGATAGTATGAGGACCATTGATGATATTTCAAGTAAAAAAAATTATACAGTACAATATGTTTGTCTTCCTAAATGTGATTCTTAAATATGTTATTGTTTAATTCCAGATTTGAAGCTTTCTCACTTGACACAGTAAAATTAGCTGTGACGGTCCCACCTGAAGATGGAGATTTGTGTTGCCTCCGAAACGTCGTGATTTAATTGATTTATTTTCATTTATTCTTATTTTATTATTTTTTACCTACGTGACTTTACGGAAAAAACCTAAGAATATGTTATTGTTTCAAAGTTAGATAAGAAACACTTTGTGCCCTACATTTTCTTGGGTGATAAGTTGCCTAAGATGTGTCCAATCCTGTCCAGCTGGATCAAAAACTAATAAAAGTCACCTGCTTTCTAAACCCTAACCCTCACTTGCTTTCTAAACGCTAATCTTCACCTGCCTTCTAAATCCTAACCCTCAACTGCTTTCTAAAACCTAACCCTCTCCTGCCTTCTAACTCCTAATCCTCACCTGCTTACTAAACCCTAACCCTTAACTGCCCTCTAAACCTTAACCCTCATACGCTTTTGGAAACACTAACCATAATCTGCTTTCTATACCCTAACCCTCAACTGCTTCGTAAACCCTAACCCTCACCCAGAGGCGTAGCTAGGGAGGGGGGCAGGGGGGTACATATGTCCCCGGGCGCCAAGGTAAAGGGGCGCCAAAATGAGGCTTACAACGTTACATTATAACTTATTGTGGCGGGCGCGGCAGCCTGAAACTACTGCAGAAATCTACACCTCAACCTAAAAGTTATATATCCCGCCACACACAGCCTACATGTCATGTAATTACATTTTGGTGCGCACGCCTATTAAGAACGTACATGGAAGAACGTCCCAAACAACAGACAGGCGCAGTCTTTCAGCCTTAGTCAGTGGCATGTGTTTTTTGGTGGCGGAAACTACGACATGATGATAAACTTGTTGACAGTAACGGGGAAGATGAGATAGAAGAATCTTCTGATAGAGAAGCTGAAAATACTCATTATGATGCTGTTCCTGCTGTACTAAAGTTTCACGATGTTGGCTACTTAGAATATGATAAAACGACAAAGTTATCGAAAATATCACAACCTCTTCACAATGAAATGATTACTCTAGGATCCTTGCCTTTGCAGCACAGAGACAATCTATCATCAGTATCCAGAGAACGTTCAATTACATCAGCATGGTATAAACGCCGACTAGCGAATGGAGAGGAAGTGAATCGTTCGTGGCTATTATATTCACCAATCAATAAAGCTGCTTACTGTTTCTGTTGTCTATTATTTACATCATCGAGTTCAAACTCACGAGCTTCGTTTGAGTTAACAAACGGTTTCAACAAGTGGAGAAAGCCAGAAAAACTAAATTCTCATGAAAACAATCCTAGCCACCGCACAGTATATATTTGTTTTTCTCTCGTTCAACAATTCGTTGCGAAGAGTTAAAAAAAGCTGTGCCCATCACAGTAAAGCGGGAGTCTGGAACACGCTGGAGTGCACGATCAGAAGCTGTTAAAGCTATCTATGAAGGACTGGATGAACTAGTAGGGCTGCTAGACAAATTATCGGAGGACATAACTATGACGCCTGAAACCAGAAGTGATGCAGAACAGTTACATGCATGCGTATTAAATTTTAACTTCATAGTTTTATTACATTTCTGGAATGTCATTCTTGGAAAAATTGATCGTGTTCAGAAGCGCTTACAGGATCCTACTATGAATTTCAAGGAAGCAGCAACTGATCTTGAATCTTTGGAGCATGAATTTGTCAAGCTTCGTGATGATTTGAGCCACGTTGCTGTAGTAAACGCCAAAACAAGATACACAACCTGGGGGATCGATGTGGACAGAAGAATAAGGCGACGTCGGAAGATTCCAGGAGAACTGGCAAGAGATGCAGGACTTTCAGCAGAAGAAGAAATTGTGCGCGTTATGAAGAGCGTATTTTATCGACTTCAACAGGAGATGTCAACACGGTTTTTACGACTAAAAGACCTGAACACAAAATTTTGATTTCTGCTGGACGTCAAAACTCTTCTATCCGACACAGATGTCGATGCAATTCGTCGAAATTGCACAGATTTTGGAAATTTCTACGACACCGACATCAATGGCCACGAACTTTTCACAGAAATTGGAGATTGCTAAATGCTGCTCAGTAACCGGAATAAAGTTCTACCAGAAACTCCTTTGGATCTTCTTGGTTTTATTGTGTTTTATGGAGACGACATATTTCCGAATTTGCCACGCCCTCGATTTGTATTTCATAGAGCGCTTCGGGCGGGCTCAGCACCACGTGACGCGCCGCTTGCGCCACGTGACACGGATCGCACGAA